CTCCAGGTGTTTGCACATTTCATTAAAATACTTTACTTTGTCTTCTTGAGCCACCCTTTGAAGTCTTTGGTTCAGCTCTTTTACTTCATCATTTCTTCCATTTGCTTTAGCTACTCTACGTTCAAGAGCAAGTTTCAGAGTTTCTTGTGACATCCATTTTGGTCTTTTCTTTCTTTCCTGTCTTTTCAATGACCTTTTGCTTTCTTCGTGTCTGATGTCCTTGATGTCATCCCACAACTTGCCTGGTCTTCGGTCATTAGTGTTCAGTGTGTCAAATCTATTCTTGAGATGGTCTCTAAATTCAGTTGGGATATACTCAAGTTTGTATTTTGGTTCTCGTGGACTTATTTTAAATTTCTTCAGCTTCAGCTTGAACTTTTTGTACCCTTAGGGTACGTATAAAGTGGTGTGCTCAGAGGCCACGCATATCATAGAATTATCATGATTGGCTCCTTGAGTGTCATTAAATGTCTGCTTTCTTCTGCACTGGGGCTATTTTGGTATAAAGTCCTGATTTAAATCATTACCCAGTGCAAACTCAATATTTTAATGCTTGAGTTCCTTGTGTTCTGGAGCTATTTACCTTGGAAAGCCCCTCTGTCCTGACTCTTCCTGGAACATAGCTTTCTACTCTTAGACCTCAACCAAATGAATTTCATGGTTCAGCAAGCCCCATGAGTAAGAATTCAAAGATTATGGTGCTCCTTGTGTTCAAAGTAAACTTGGGGGCAAGACTTGGCAGGAGGAGTTAGTGAAACCTGCCAACATCTGCTTTCAGATTCCACCTGAACACATTCAGAATACTGTCTTTGAGCACCTGATTTGCTCCAGATATGGGGTTAAGTGCCCAGAATACAAAATTGAGTAAAACACAGTCCCTGCCATCTGGCGAGGAGGCAGATAAGAAAATCAACAACTCCTTCATTTCCAAGGGCAAAGGAAGCACTGAGTGAGAGGGCAACGAAAGACTGTTACCTGCTGAAAAAGTGGCTCACACTTTGAGAGGAAAAATGGTCACATGGGTGTAAGATGTACCCACATTTTAGAAACATTGAAATGAGAAAAAATAACAAATGTTTTAGCATTTGAAGAAATATGACACAGAGTCAGTCCTGTCCCATGGTAATCCAAAGATGCCAAAATATCAAAATTTTCGGACATGAGATTTGTTTTAAACTGAGCGGTATTTTGAGCCTAACTAGTTAGATGGTTTGTTCTTTTTTTCTTTTTCCTGGATGGACCAGTTCACTAAGCACTGGGACCATTTAATACAAATAAGGGGAGAATCTTTATCCTTAGGAATAAAGGGATAGCAAAGGCCATGCATGTGACATTGAAAGAAAGGAAATACTCAGCACTGAAAAAAAAATGATTTGGAAGTTGAGAATAATGATAACAGAAAGCTGGTTACCTGGAGTTACTGGAGGGTATACAGCATTGGGGAATGGTGGCAGCCAGGTTGTGAGTAGAATTTAGCTCATGGTGGTATGAGGTCCCTGTGTCTCTCTGCTACCTTCTCTCTTTTATATCTCAAAAGAGATTGATTTAAGACACAGCCTAATCTTGTAGATTGAATCCTGCCTCATTTACATGAATGCTGCTAATCCCACCTCATTAACATCATAGAGATAGGATTTACAACATATAGGAAAATCATGTCAGATAACAAAATGGTGAACAGTCACACAGTACTGGGAATCATGGACTAGCCAAGTTGACACACATTTTTTTGGGGGACAAAATTCAACCCATAACAGAGGGTAAAGAGTGAAAAGTGTGAATCCTCTCCATTTGGTCTCCCAGCATATGATAGGACAGATCCCAGCAACTTTCTGAGATCTTGGGCCAACAAGAAGCCAGGAGATGGTGCCCTTTGCACAATACAAAGGTAGAAGTGGTTGATGAAACTGCACCACCCTTGGGTGTTATCTATTGCTGCTGTAACAGAAATGCCTCAAGTGGGTGGCTTTATTTATTTATTTTATTGTTGTAGTTTATATTTCAAGTTAGTCTCCCATATAAAATTTATACATACATTGTTATGTGACCCTAATTGCTCTCCCCATACTGTGACAGCACACGCCTCCTTTCCACCCCTGATTGCCCATGACCATTCAACCAGCTCCTAACTCTCTCTGCCTTCCGATCTCACCTCTGGACAGAAGCTGCCCATTTAGTCTCTTGTATCTACTTGAGCTAAGAGGCACACTCCTCACGAGTATCACTTTATGTCCCACAGTCCAGTCCACTCCCTGTCTGAAGAGTTGGCCTTGGAAATTGTTTTAGTTCTGGGCTGATAGAGAATCTGGGGGCCATGCTTTCCAGGGTTCCTCCAGTCTCAGACCATTAAGTCTGGTCTACTTACTAGAATTTGAGTTCTGTACCCCACCTTTCTTCTGCTCCATCAGGGACTTTGTTGTGTTCTCTGTCAGGGCAGTCATTGGTGGTAGCCGGGCACCATCTAGTTCTTCTGGTCTCAGGCTGATGAAGTCTCTGGTATATGTGGCCCTTTCTGTCCCTTGGGCTAATGCTTTCCTTGTGTCTTTGGTGTTCTTTGTTCTCCTTTACTCCAGGTGGTTGGGACCAGTTGATGCATCTTAGATGGCTGATTGCAAGCTTTTAAGACCCCAGATGCCACCTACCAAAGTAGGATGCAGAACATTTTAATAGGCTTTGTTATGCCAGTTTACCTAGATGTCCCCTGAAAACATGGTCCCCAGCCCCCTGCCCCTGCTACTCTGTCCCTCAAAGTGTTTGTATTCAGGAAACTTGTTAGCTTTGGTTTAGTCCAGTTGTGCTGACTTCCCCTGTAGTGTGTGCTGTCCTTCCCTTCACCTAAGATAATTCTTTTCTACTATCTAGTTAGCAAATAACCCTCACCCTCCCTCCCCACCCTCGTAACCATCAAAGAATGTTTTCTTCTGTGTTTAAACCTTTTCTTGAGTTCTTATAATGGTGGTCTTACACAATATTTGTCCTTCTGTGACTGACTAAATTCACTTAGCATAATGCCCTCCAGATTCCTCCACATTATAAGATGTTTCATGGCTTCATTGTTGTTCTTTATCATAGCATAGTATTCCATTGTGTGGATATACCATAATTGGTTTATCCATTTGTCCATTGGTGGGTGCCTAAGTTGTTTCCATCTTTTTGCTATTGTGAACAGTGCTACAGTGAACATGGGTGTGCATATATCTATTCATGTGATGGCTCTTATTTCTTTAGGATGTATTCCAAGGAGCAGGATAGCTGGATCATATGGTACTTCTATTTCTAGCTTTTTAAGGAAGCACCAAATAGATTTCCAATGTGGTTGTACCATTTTACATTCCCACCAACAGTGTATAAGTGTTCTAGTCTCTCCACAACCTCTCCAGCATTTATTATTTTGTATTTTTCAGATTAATGCTAGCCTTGTTGGGGTGAGATGATATCTCACTGTAGTTTTGATCTGCATTTCTCTAGTGGCTAATGATCATGAGCATTTATTCATGTGTCTGTTATATCTTCTTTGGCGAAGTGCCTGTTCATATACTTTGCCCATTTTTTAATTGGATTATTTATCTTTCTGTTGTTGAGGTGTTGCAGTATCCTGTAGATTTTAAAGATTGGAACCTTGTCAGATATGTCATAGCCAAAAATTTTTTTCCCAGTCTGTAGGTTCTCTTTGTACTCTTTTGATGAAGTCTTTTGAAGAGTGTAAGTGTTTGATTTTTAGGAACTCCCAGTCATCTAGTTTCTCTTCTGGTGTTTGTGCATTGTTACTTACGGTTAGTATACTATTCATGCCATGTATTAGAGCTTCTAGCGTTCTCCCTGTTTTTTCTTCTATGCTCTTTATCATTTTAGATTTTATATTTTGGTCTCCGATCCATTTTGAGTTAGTTTTTCTGTATGGTGTGAGGTATGGGTCCTGTTTCATTTTTTTGCAGATGGATATCCAGTTATGCCAGCACCATTTGTTAAAGAGACTGTCTTTTCCCAATTCACGGATTTTGGGCCTTTGTCAAATATCAGCTACTCATAGGTGGATGAATTTATGTCTGGATTCTCAATTCCAGACCCTGTTCCATTGGTCTATGTATCTGTTGTTGTACTAGTACCAGGCTGTTTTGACTACCATGGCAGTATAATAGGTTCTAAAATCAGGTAGTGTGAGGCCTTCCACTTTGTTCTTCTTCCTGAGTAATGCTTTACTTATCCATGGCCTCTTCTCAAGTGGGTGGCTTTAACAAACAGAGTTTAGGAGGCTAGAAGTCTAAAAGGGTACAGGCTCTAGGGAAAGGCTTTCTCTCTTTGTTGGCTGTGGAGGAATGTCCTTGTCTCTTTGCAGCTTCTGTTTCTTGGTTCCTTCAAGATCTCATGTGGTGTGACATCTGTCTTCCCCCATCTCTGCTTTCTTGTGGTTTGCTCTTTTATATCTCATAAGAGATTTAAGACGCACCCTATGCTAATACGGCTTAATTAACATAACAAAGAAAACTCTCCCCAAATGAAATTATAATCACAGCTATAGTAGGATTTACAACATATTTTTGGAGGACACAATTCAATCCATAACAGGTGGCTTGCTCAAAGTTGCATTCATCTGTTTGGGTGTAGTTGCAATGTATCATGTAGTAGCCCAAAGCCTAGAGTATTGGTCTCAGCCATCTGATTCTCTGCTCATGGTGGGAGTTAAATGAGATGCTTAATTCCCACCCCTCTGGGAGGCTTCCTCACCCAACTTCCCTATACTCTGCATCCCCCAACTAGATTCATGGTTCACATAACATTATATATGTAAATGATAAAAATATTATTGTAACTAATACAAATAACATTTTATTCACAACAGTCCATTCTTGTAAAAGTATTTCCACAGCATGCCCAAAATAAACTGTTGTGGGAGGTAAAGCGAAGAGAAGACTTCTGCCAAATTAAAGATCATTTCCCAAACCCCTCTCCATCTCACCCTACTTGCTCCCTATTGATAGCTTTGATTTTCCTTCTTTCAGGTGGAATGTGTCCTTGGGACATCTTTGTATAACCCCATCCTGAAAGAAGCTCTGCGATGTGTTCATTGTGAGTTTGTGTGAAGCCAGTTGCACTCTTCCCAAGAAATAGCTTGCTATGAGAACTGAGATGGAAGAGCTGGCACCAGCAGAAGACGAGAGCCAACTCCCAAGCCCCCACCACGGCTCTCTGAGGAAGGCTGTGGCTGCCGCCTTGGCCCTGGATGGAGAATCCATGACGGGTCAAAGGAAAAAGAAAAAGAAAGAGTCCTGCCCAGAATCTATCATCATCTACCGGTCAGATAATGAGAAAATGGATGAGGAGCTAGGGGAATTGGAAGGTGGAGAGCAACCTAAAGAGGAGGAGGGAGATGATTTCCTAGACTACCCATTGGATGATGGTGAGTCTCCTTGTGGCCTTGAGTTTATGGCCATGGGAAAGAAACCAAATGAGAATTCCCCTGAAGACAGCCAGGCATTTGCTCGCTGATATGTTTCTTTTTGTTTTTTTTTTTTTCATTCAAACAAAAAGTCTCACATATTTATTACTAAACCAACATGTTAATGTGGAAGCATAAAAACAAAGGAAGAAACCAGAATTTCCCTAATACAACACATCCAATTGTTCAGATAGTGGTGAAATTTTTGACTTGATATGGTAAAATGCTAGTGAACTTGATAGAGCATAAAATATGTGTGCCATCACATGTGCGACTCTTTAGAGACACAGCTTGGTTTTTCTCCAGTGTCTCCTCTTGGAGTTGTACCCGATTTTATTACCAGTTACCATTCTAATCCATTGAGGAATGGGGTGATTCTGCTTTTGTTTCCTGACTAGGAATCTCTTGACCCTGAAAATCTTGTGAGATGACTTGGCAAGGATGGAAGTGCGTGGTATACACCAAGATGGTCGAGAAAGGGAAAGAGCAATCTGTTTCTTCTTGTTGATATATTTATTCTCACAGTGTTGCATGGTCTTCACTCAACAATTTGACTAGTATCTACCGAGCACCTATTACATTCTGTGCTAGGTGATAAGCAGATCCTTGCCCTTTCTGAGCTCCTAGGGTAATGGAAGAGGCTTATTTATGCACAAAAATAAGTAATACAAGCAAACTATGCTGATTACTTAATACATGTAAAAAAGAGAAAGAACAATAGCTACTTTAATAATCGGGAAAATGTGAATTATAACAACGAGATGTTAGGATTTCCACAATAATTAAAATATGATAACATCAGTATGAGGAAATGAATATACTCCCATACACTTTAAGTGGAAATGGAAGCCACTTCAACCACTTTGTAGGGAAATTTATCAGTTTTTATTAAAATTCAGAAATCTATGCCCACGTGCATAAGGCGGCATGTATAAGAATATTTGTTGGACTTCCGAAAACATGGTGTTATAGTCAGAAGCACCACGCCATCTCTCCACAGCAAAGATCCGAAAAACTAAGTCAAACAGAGTCACACATCAATCCTGAAACCCTAAGCATCGAATGAAGAGATAAAGAACTCAGCCAAGCACCGAATGGAATAAGAAACTGACCAAGAACAGAGAGTGAGGAGAGATACATGCAGAGGTCCCCTATCAGCTACCACAGCATGGATCCGCCATTTTGGACTCCTATCGGAGATCAGTGAACAGGGGGTACGAGAAAGCAGCTTCACAGAGCTTCCAGCAGGAGACAGGACAACCAGTAACCAGTGATATAGGTTTTCGCATCCCCCACCCTTCTTCACCCACTTAGCCTCCTCTGCTTCCTGCAGGCACAGTCTCTTGGCGGGGAAGCACCACCTTCACCCCAGTGTCATTTGGATTCCACCCGCCCACACTAGCCAGCTCCCTGAGTGCCTTTTGTTGGCTGCTGGTGTTGCTTTTTTCTGCTTTTTAGATTTCTTCCTTACCTCTCACCACCTCCCCATCCTTTGTCTCAAATACCTGGCTCTGTGTGCCATCTTTGCTTCTTCCTGAAAGGCTGCAAAATACCGCTCAACTGTGAAACTGCTTCCCGGCCTCTACCACCACGCTGGTGGGACCCCCAGGGCTTTTTGTTTGTTTGCTCTCATTTGTTCTGTTTTGATTTGTTTGTTTGTTTTCTTTTTCTTTTCTCAGCTTGGGAGCTCCTTCTAGCTGGGCAGTACCATGCAGCTTGGAAGCTACTCCCTTACTCTGCGCAGACACATAGGGACATCCCTGGGGGCTTTTCTTTTTTCTTTTTTTTTTTTGGTTTTGGTTTTAGGGTCTTTTTTTTTTGCTTGTTTCTTTGTTTTGTTTTCTTCTCTCTCTTATTCCCTTTTTGTCTTTCTTCATTTCCAGTTTCTCAATTTATTCATTTTTTTCTTTTACCCTTTTTGGTTTCTTTTTTAATATTTGTTTTTCCCCATTTCTCAGTCTCTCATCTCTCCACTTCAATAGGAAGCTCCCTTAGCACTCTTTTCTGTTTGTGTGTATGTTTTGGGCTCCTGTTTCTCTCTCCTCTCTCTCATCTTTCCCATACCCATCTTAGCTCCACACATCACAATCTACCCCCTCCTTCCTGGCTACCTGCACCATGCATTGAACATCACACTCCCAAGCAGCACAGGCACAGCCTACTGGAACTTGCCCTGCACTGATTTCCGGTCCACACTGTCAGCCCTGGTACTGTCAGCCACAAACAACCCATCCCAGCAACTCCCCTTCAGCTGGACCTGCCCTGCTGTACCATACCTGAGTGACTGACCCTGCCCATTGGAGAAGGAAGTGAAAAGTATCATGCCCACAGACGAGCAAACAACAAAGAACACGCAGCCCGCCTGCTCAGACATGACCATATAAAACAAAAAAGCAGGATGAAACAAACAAATCTACAATCAATAAAAGAGGAAAATAACCACTGACTGCCCAGAAGACAGCAGACAATATCAAAACACAAAAACAGGACAGGATGTTCCCTGTAGGTGTCCAAAATAAAACACCAGATGACCTTCCAGTAGAAGAAAAGGCACTAGACCTAACTTATAGGGAATTCAAATCTCTAATACTCAGAATTATCCAAGAGTTGAAGCAAAAAGCAGACAAAAATGAGGAAAAAATAGACAAATTCAGGGAAAATACAGACAAAAAAATGGAAGAATTCAAGAAAATAATACAGGAACAAAATGCTAAAATAAATTCACAACTAGAAATCATACAAAAACAACAATTAGAAATCCAAAGATAAACAACAAGATTTCAGAAATGGATAGTGTCATAGAAGGGCTGAGGAGCAGGTTTGAAATGATGGAAGATAGGATCAGCAAAATTAAAGACAAACACTTAGATACAACTCTGTTTGAGGAAAAATCAGAAAAAATGAAGAAAAATGAAGAGACCCTGAGAATTATGTGGGATACAATCAAAAGCAAAAATGTACAAGTGATGGGAGTTCCAGAACAGGGGGAGAAAACAGAAAACACAGAGAGGATCATTCAAGAATTGCTGACAGAAAACTTTCCCAATATCATGAAAGATGAAAAGCTTACCAACCAAGAAGCTCAACGAACCCCATATAGGATAGACCCCAAAAGAAAATCACTAAGGCATATCATAATCACACTTGCCAAAACCAAAGACAAACAAATCCTGAGAGCAGCTTGAGAAAAACAACAAGTCACATACAGAGGAGAAACAATAAGACTAAGCTTGGATTATTTGGCAGAAACCATGCAGGTAAGAATGCAATGGGATGACATACATAAAACCTTGCAAGAAAAAAATTGCCAGCCAAGAATAATATACCCTGCAAAACTCTCATTCAAATATGATGGTGAAATTATGTCATTTCCAGATAAACAGAAATTAAGGGACTATGTAAAAACCAAACCAGACTTACAAGACTTATTAAAGGGAGTCCTTCAATCTGAGAACAAACAACATCAGACCACAGGCTGAATATAAGACAGAGGATTGTACTAGCCAGATACCAACCTAGGAAATGAACTCTTAAGGACTATGTAAAACCAAAAGAATTACAACAGGGAACCAGAGAGGTTAATCTGTAAGTGACAACAGCATCAGAACAATAAAAGAGGGAATAAACGGTGTAGGTATAGAACTTTCTAATGGAGAGGAAGGCAAGGCGATACCAAGTAAGAATAGACTGGTTCAAATCTAGGAAGATAAGGGTAGATTTCCAGGTAACCACAAAAAAAGTTAACAAACCTACTCATCAAAAGAAAGAAGAAAAACATAAAGTCTCAGTAAAAACAAAACCTACAAAAACAAAAGAAATGAAAAAAAAAAACCACAAACAAAAGGAACTCAGCTCAGGAGAGTAAGAGGAACAAAGAAAACGTCAGCACCACCAAAAAAAGCACTACAAAATGCAATCCCACTTCTAGGAATATATCCTAGAGAAATAAGAGCTGTCACGTGAATAGAGATATGCACACCCATATTCATTGCAGCACCGTTCACAGTAGCAAAAGGATAGACACAACCTAGATGCTCATCAACAGATGAATGGATAAAGAAACTATGGTACATACATGCAGTGGCGTATTATACAAAGATAAAGAACAATGATGAATCTGTGAAGCATCTCAGAACATGGATGAAACTGGAGGACATTATGCCGAGTGAAATAAGTCAATCACAAAAGGACAAATATTATATGAGACCTCTACTGTAAAAACTCATGTAAAAGTTTACACACAAAAAGAAACAATCTACCCCGAGAGTATGGCCCCCAGACACCCTTTTAGCTCAGTGGTGAAGTCACTCTCAAAGTTCACTGTTCGTTGGGGGATTGGACAGCCTCATAAAACAAAATGGGACTAATGAGGCACAACAGTCCAAGGACAAGGACTAGTAGGCAGGAGCGGACAAGAAAGCTGGTGAATGAGAAACTATTTGTTCTGCAAACCTTCATCTAAGATACCAAAAAAAAAAGAATCATCTATGTGAGATCAAATTGACAACAGCAACTCAAAAGGTTTGATGGGAAGCCTAGGGGGCAGTGAGTTGAAGATAATGGTGATGGAATACTTTGGGAAAGGATAGAATAGCAGCACAACTGGAAGAATGTAATTGATGTCACTGAATTGTACATGTAGAAACTTTTGAAATGGTGTAACTTTGGCTATGTATATTTTCACAATGTCATAAAACAATATGTGTACTGACTGTTTAATGAGAAACTATTTGTTCTGTAAACCTTCGTCTAAAGTACAATAAAAAAAAAAAAAAAAAAAAACCCTGTTGGGTTTTGATTGGACTTAAATTGAATTAACATATTGATTAGTAGTAAACTGACATCTTCATGATTTAGGTGTTTTTTCCATCAATATATAATTATTTATTCAAGTTTTCTTTTATGTCCTATAATGATCTTTTATAGCTTTTCTTCATAGAAGTCTTGTTACTTTCATTTTTTCCTCATCTATTGTGAACGGACTCATTTTTAACACTTTTTTTCTAATTTATTGTATTTGGATTATCATGTAGGTACAATACCTGTTCTACAGAAGGCCCTCGATAATGGTAGCACTAATTATTATTATCGTTAATGTTACATTTTTTTGTTGAAATGCCATCTGTTTTCCCAAGGAGTTTGACACTGATTGTGTCACAAAGATTTGTTTCTCTGTATATCCCAAACAAACTAAAACAAACACACAACACCCCCCGGGGAAAAAAAAAAAGAATGTTTGTTGCTGCTAAAGAAATTGTGGAGTGTGCCAGTTAAGGATTACTGTGCAACAATAGACAGGTAAGATAGATCTATTTGTATAGACGGATGGATCTTTGAGACATATGCCCACAGTGGGGAAGAGAGGCAATGTCCCAGGTTCCATAGAGCTTACCTTCTAGTCAGGGGAAGTCAGACAGTAAACAAGTCACAAATAAAGATAATTTCGGTAGCAGTGGTGAATGTTACAAAGAAAATAAAACCATGGTGATTGTGAAGGGTCATGGGGGCAGGGGGAGATTGGATGGTCATGGAAGGCCTCTCTGAGGAAGTGATGTTTGAGCTTATCCAAATGATATGAAGGAACCAGTCATGAAGAGATCTTGGCAGAACATTTCCAGAAGGGGGAGCAGCACAAGTGAAGACCCGGGGGTGGGAGTAACATTGGCATGTTTAGGAATGGAATTATTTCTGTGTGACTAGAGTGTAGGCAGCCCTAGTGCTGCAATGGTTAAGCGCTCAGCTGCTAATTGAAAGGTCAGTGGTTGAAACCCACCAGCCGCTCCACAAGAGAGAAGACCTGGCCATCTGCTTCTATAAAGATTATAGCCTAGGAAACCCTACGGGGCAGTCCTACTGTGTCCTATAGGGTCACTGTGAGTCGGAATCAACTTGATGGCATACAGCAACAGTGTGTAGGCAACAAGGAGAGAATGGTGAAAGGAAGTCTGAAAGGTAGTCAGTGTTTGGGCCTTGTTGATCATGGTAAGGAGTTTGGAACTTGTTACAAGTGTAAGGGAAAGTTAATGGAGGACTTTTAAGCAGAGGAGAGACTCATTTACATTTGTAGAAAGATCCCTCTGCCTTCTCTATGAAGAATGGATTACAAGGGGTAAGAGTGGAAGCTGATGGAAGACTCCAGCCACAATAGCATGAATGTAGAAGCTTGGACTAGAGTTATAGCAAGGAAGATAGCTAGAGAAGAATGGATGGATTCAGAGTGTAATTTAGAACTTGCTGATGGATTGGAGGTTGGGGGTGCAGAAAACAGAAGAATCAATGATGACTCCTGGGTTTTTGACATGAGCAATGGAGAGGATAGATGGTGGTGTCATTTACTGAGGTGAGTGAGCCTGTGAAGCTGTTAGGTGTTTGGGGAACTGTATAACCTTTATATCTGGGCAGTCAGAGACCCTGCTACTATCTTGGGCCCTGCTCTTTAGATGGCTCGGCTCTTTAGATGGCTCCACTCTAGCCCTTTTCTAACCATGGGGCAAGTGTTTACAGGCCCAGGGGACCTGCCTGTCTAGAGCCTATACAGTCTCCTACCCCAACACATACAACTTCTAGACCACATTTTTACATGCCAATGACCATGGAATTCCCTGCCTCAGTATCTCCAGCTTCACTTCCAGAGTGGCCAAAGAATGGCTGTTTGGTCGTGGTGGTGGGTGTGTATGTGTGTGAGTGGACAGTGTCTGGATATGTCAGTTAAAATGTCCACAGGCCTGTGTGGAGGTCCCCTCTCAGGAAAGCATAGAGATAGACATGAGAAGAGAAGAGGGGTGGGCTGTCCATCAGGAGCTTCCAGTTGAACTCCTGGCCTGGCTCCATGATGTGTGTGCATGTTGTATGTATGTATGTATATACATGTGCATATGTGTATGGTTATGGACGTATAAATGCCTACATACATACAGTATATATGGTATATAATGCCCACACATTATAATCTTCACGCACAATAGATGATATTCATGAACAATATTTTCACTGCACTTGTAAACTAGACGTAAAATCAATATAAAATGGTGTCCTTAGTATAAAATGAGGATGTGGATGCTTTGATCAGTTGGAAGTTGGCCCTCACACCCCTCCATATCATGGAGATCCTGCCAAGCTAGAGGCCCAAAAAGATAGAGGACATGAAAAACAAATTTAACCTGGGTCACAATTTTTTCAGAGGCCAGATGTGTGAAAGTTCACTGTGGGAGAAATAATACCAGTGGCCGCCCTCCCGAGGGAGGCCCGTTCAGTCAATCATTAAATCACTGACTTCTGTTCAGCACTGTGCCAGATGTTGTGAAAACAGACATCAGGGGACAACACTGACCAAATGTTCTCTTTTCTGATCTTGGACTTTCACCTCCTTTTTGCCCCATAGGTATGTGGAACATGCCTTTGGACAGTCGCTATGTCACGTTAACTGGGACCATCACACGAGGGAAGAAAAAGGGTCAGATGGTGGACATCCATGTCACATTGACAGAGAAAGAGTTGCAGGAATTGACCAAGCCTAAAGAATCAGCAAGGGAAATAACACCCGAAGGAAGAAAGGTCTGCCAGATGGGAGCAGATCGTGGGCCACATGTGGTCCTCTGGACTCTGGTCTGCCTGCCTGTGGTTTTTGTCCTGTCTTTCATTGTCTCTTTCTACTATGGCACCATCACTTGGTATAATATCTTCCTTGTGTACAATGAGGAGAGGACCTTCTGGCATAAGATTTCATATTGCCCCTGCCTCATTCTCTTCTATCCAGTGCTCATCATGGCCATGGCCTCTTCCGTGGGCCTCTATGCCGCTGTGGTGCAGCTCTCCTGGTCCTGGGAAGCATGGTGGCAAGCTGCTCGGGACATGGAGAAAGGCTTCTATGGTTGGCTCTGCAGCAAGCTGGGCTTGGAAGACTGCTCTCCCTACAGCATTGTGGAGCTGCTTGAATCTGACAATATTTCAGGCAATCTCTCCAACAAGGACCCTATACAGGAGGTAGAAACCTCCACTGTCTAAACTCTAAACAATTTACTTCCTTCTCTGGCCCCTGTAGTCTCTATATCATCTTCCAATTCCAGAGGATTCTTTCTTTAAATTCTCTCTCCCTCCCCCACCTCAACAGTTCTTCTGGAAAATCCTAGACAACATCAGTCTGTCCCACCATCTTGATGATTCTAGGAGGGCAGGAAACTGAAAAGCAACTCATGCCAAAGCAGTCTACCTGAGGGACAATCTCCTCTTCTTCCCTGCCTTAAAGTGGCAATTTATCTGAGACAGGGAGCTCAGTAGTGTCAGTTCAGGAGCTTGGAGGTGTTCCTGGTGCCTGGAACCCAGAAGAGTATGTGACCAACGTGGTGGGGGAATAAGGAGGCTCGGGGAGACCACAGCCACCAATGAGATAATAAAGATGGAGTGGAACATTTAAGAAGCAGGGCTGCCACGGTATAGTAGAATGTAAAGACTTGTGTCATTGAGATTTAAATTTAGCTGCATATTATTAAGACCCTAAAATACCAGTGGTTTAACCAAGACAGTTTATTTCTCTCTCATATGGAAGACTGGAGGCAGAACATCGGGGACCGTATGAAGTGATCAGGGCCCAAGCCTGCTTCCACTCCATTATCGTCCTTACCCTTGATGTTCCAGATGCTGACTGCATCTCCACTCATCACATCCATGTTTCTGGCAGCAGAATAGAGGACGGAGAAGGAAGAACACACCCTTCCCTTTTAAGGAGACTTCCCAGAAGTTCCACTCAACAGTGCTTCTTATATCTTTTTGGCCAGACCTTAGTCACATGGTCTTAGGTGCAAGAGAGGCTGGGAAATACAGTCTTTTGGCTGGGCAGCTATATTCCTGGCTAAATATTGGGATTATGCTAATTTGAGAAAAATGGCTATTTTGGTAGACATAAGAGTGTCTGTCTCACTATGGTTATTTAAATAGGTTTAGAATTCCAGACTTGATATATTTTATTTATTTAGGCCAGAACCTTACACAGAGAAAACTTACACGTAACATAAATATTAGCTAAGAAGCACCTTGTGTACTTTGCAATTAAACTTTCTGTAGTGTCATGTGGTTTCAGGTTTATTTTTTTGGGAAGAGATGATGGACAGGAGAGGACAATTATATAATAGTAGCCCAACTCTTTTCCTGGTGGTAGAGGTGGGATGGTGATGGTGATACTTAATCTAATCTACAGATTAAAGCCTGTGAAGGGAGGAATTGCCTTTGCCAAACTCCCCACCCCCAACAAGGATTAGTAATACTAAACACAGTGAAGCCAGATTTAGTGTTCTGTTGTTTGGTGCAACCTCACTCAAAACCTGACTTACTCAGATCTTTACAGAATTTAACCATAAACATGATTTTTTCCTGTGCTGTGAGGTTGGTATCTTTCTGACTCCTAGAGGATTATAGTCCAGCTGGTGCTCATTGCTTGGTCATGTTTCAGAAATAAACTGTTGGAAGAACTGCTATGAGTCAAACCAGAGGGGTCAGCCATGCTCCCCCACACCAGGCAGGGACATTCTCTAATGTGTGATGCTGGACTCTACCTTCCAAGGAAATTTTTTTTTTTTTTGAACAATTATTACTTTCACAAGAAAAAAAAAAAAACCCAGCATTTTTGAAGATAACCTTGGTGCTCTCTGGTGCTTTCACAGAGACATGAAAATTTAATGAAGACAAAGAAAATAAAAATAAAATCTGATTCACATCTGCTCACTTTATCTTTGAGGCTCTCCAAAATTGCTTTGAAAGCTATTAGTTTGCAGAAAAAAAAGTGAGTGTGGTGGCTGTCTTATATGTGTGTAATGATAGTAATATGATACGTACCCTAATGTCTTGACACTTTCCATGGACCCCTAATTTTACTGGGATACCATTTTGGTGGACTGTTTTCACAAATCACATATTTACTTAAGCCCACATTAGAAAGCTGTAACCAGATTTGTCACATTTTCCTGGGGATGTGGAAATCCATGGTCAAAGCCAAAAAATCGTCATGATTAGGACACGGGTAAGATGAGGCCATGGTGGAATGGAAGGTGGTGGGATGGAGGGTGAGACTAGGCACAAAGGATATCTAGATGAAGTCGACATGGCCCTCTTGTCACTAGTTGGGCTCGCCATCTAGTGGAAGAAAATAGGTTTGTAAATTAATTTCAAAAGGGCTCTAATGGAGATATACAAAGCCTAGAGGAATGGACATGAAAGCAATGTCAATGTATTTGAATGGAGGCAATCCAATTTTTGCTCTTAGCGAACACCTAGTGAACCTTAGAGAAAAAACTGGAGTTAAATACCATACGTGAGCAATTCTGTTAGTTCATAGTTACCTAATCTTCATGATGAATATCAAGAAGGAAGACTACATTTTCTAATTGCTTAGTAGACATAATATCCTGAGTTGAATAAACCACACATTTGACCCAGTGTGATGATACTTATGATTCCAAGACAACTTGTCTATTTATATTAGATAGTACCCTTCATTTCAGTTCATGTCCAAGGGAAACAAAACCCCTATTCTCCATGACTTCCTATAAAACAAGATTATAAATCTTAGAAAGAACTAATTTCAGATGTCTTGAAAGTTTCATCCTGCCACTTTGGAATGGCCACCTAGGGCTTAGTAAACAAGATTGTTGTTGTCATTAGGTCCTGTCAAGTTGGTGCCGACTCATAGCGACAGAGTAGAACTGCCCCATAGGGCTTCCAAGGAGCAGCTGGTGGATTTGAACTGCCAACCTCTGGGTTAGCAGCCGAACTCTTAACCACTACGCCACCAGGGCTCTGTTAAACAAGATTAGTGGTCAACATAAGACATTTTCTCTTCCTCAACTTTATTTCTCTTACATGAATACAAACCATTTACATGGAATTTTTTTTAAATGGTATTTGATGTGAAGTGGTGGAATATGGTACCATCGCTACTCACATCTCTTTGGGATATAAACCTCAATTTCATATTTGTACACTGTTAAGGATTTTAACTAATTTTCCCAATTGCCCGTATAACCAGTTACAGCTTGCTGTCAGAGAACACAGCCTCTGCATTTTTATTTTGTATAATGCTTACGAAGTCATTGCTCCTGTAGTTCACTCTCAGAGTGATGTTAAACACATTCCAGTAACTGAAATTATAATTTCAAAATAAAGTTCTTTACTTGCCTTTATTCCAACTACTCTGAAGCGGATGCATAATCTACACTATAGCAATACTTAAAAAAAAAAAAAAAAAAAAACCCTTGTTTCAGTTATTGCTGTGTAACAAGCTACCCCAAAACTTAGTGGCTTAACATAACTATTGATTTACTTGCTCACAATTCTGCGATTTGGGCAGAGCTTGGGGGAGATGTTCTAGAGAAACGACTCGTCTCTGCTCAATGTCTTTAATGCTGAGACAGCTCCTACTGGGCTGGAGGATCACTCCCAAGATGGCCTCAAGGCTGCCAAGTTGGTGCTGGCTACTATCTAGGCGTACTCTGTGCTCAGTGATCCTCCATGTGGCCTCTCTTCATGTGGTTAGGTTGGGCTTTCCTAGAATGGCAATCTCATGGTACATTCATACATGGGGCTGGTTTCCCCCAGAGAGCAAAAGCTAAATCTACCAGGCATTCTGAAGGCTTTGGTCCAGAATTGGCCATGTTTTGCTGGTAAAAGTAGGTCACAAGGCCAGCCCGGACTCAAGGGGAAGCGACAACACAAGGCTGTGAATTCTGGTAGCCACGGCTCATTGGGAACCACCAAAGTAAGAGTCTGACATTCCTCTATTCCTGTCCCATCCATTTCCCTCATATGCCACAGTGGCTCCCGCATCTCTCTCTACCTAAAATCCCTCCCCCTGGCCATGGCCCATCAACCTCTTGTGCTCTCCTTTCCCCTTTTCAACTAATTCTGTATCATCAGTTAGCTGCCATTTTAGTTAATGTGCTTGGCTGCTAATCTGAAGGTTGGAGATTCAAGTCCACCCATGGGTGCCCTGGAAGAAAGGCCTGGCGATCTACTTCTAAAAATTAGCCATTGAAAACCCTGTGGAGCACAGTTCAACTCTGACACACATGGGGTCTGCCATGAGTTGGAGGGCAACTGGTTTCAGCTTAGTTCCCACTTTTCCCAGTTTCAATTTCCAAGAGGGAGAAAATCTGATTGGATTTTTTTTTTTTCAGTTTAGTCAAAAGTTTGTGGACGCTCTACAGGTTGCTGCACCCTTTGTTCAGTCACCTGTGAACTTGTACGTCATTTGGCAATAGCTGTTTTTGTGAAGCGTCCAGCTTGAGCCCATCACCCTCAAAGGGGTGGGCCTGCAGGTGGGTCAATTTCCTTTGAAAAGAGGTGGTGAGCACGTTCAAAGGCTAGAGCAAACCCGTTGCGAAATAGATTCCGACTTATAGCGACCCTATAAGACGAAGTGGAACTGCTCCATAGGGTTTCCAAGGAGCAGCTGGTGGATTTGAACTGCCCTCCTTTGGGTTAACGGCCAAGCTCTTAACCACTACCTACGTCGGGCACTGTGATTGATAGCTGCCATTCCTAGAACATCTACTTAGGCTGGTCTTCTGAATTAAACTTCACCTTCCCGCTTCCAAGCTAGAGCCCCTCCAACTTATTGGAAGCTCCTTAGCAGATAGTTCCCCTCCTCCAGGTTTCTCTATATGCCATTTCCTCTGCAAAGAATGCCCCTCCCACTTTTGTTTGCCTGTCTTATTCTTCCTTCAGGACTTGGTTCTGTGGTCACCACATTTGTGAAGTCTTTCATTATCCCCCATTTTACAGAACGAACTGAGACTTAGGTGGCTTTCTGGATTCATACTCAAGTAGATCTAACTAACTCCAGAGCTCTAGCATAGAACGCCTTCGGCGCCTCCCCGAAAAAGAGCAAAAAGGAAGTGAATCCGGCGGAGTAGTTGAGTGGAGGGAATCTGCGCATGCTCAGAGCTCTGAACCCTGGTTTCCCCCGCCCCTTCCAGGCTCAGCTGTAACTGGCCCGTACCATGGCGGCCCGGCTCGGAGTTCTCCGGAACTGAGTTGCGGCATTGCAGGTTCCCTCCCGGAAGATGAAGCCGAGGCTGCGGGGAACCGGCAACATGGCACCGCCCGGGAATAAGGTAGAGAGAGCTGTCGTCTTGGGCCTTGCCCATGCCCGGGATTCAGAGAGAGCTTTGGGGGCAGGAAGCGTGGGGTCACGGTGGTGATAAGAAGTAGGGAGAGAGGGGAGAGTCTTGGTGGTGGGCTGGGTCAAGAGGGCCTGGACAGAAGGATGCTCTATAAGAAGAGCTGTGGAATTTTAAATCCGAAGACCTGAATTTGAGCCTCGCCCATTCTCCTTCTCTTTCCTGTCACGCACTACTCCCACGCACTCCCCCTCATCCCATTTCCCTCCTCTTCCGGCTACCTCCCTCTTCGTCCTCCCCCTTCATTCCCACTCCACTTTCTAACCCACATTCTCCATTACTTATCAGACCGGGCTTTTCAATCTGTATGAGAATGGAACTTATCACGATAATAAGCACCTATCCCACAGGCTTGTAAAACTTTAGAGAGGGGCTTTCTGTGAGTAAAAGAACTTGAAATGTAAAGCGTCATATATCTACCTTAATCATAATTTAATATCTTTCAGTTATTGAAAGCTTACCGTACGCTTTATCCTGGTCTCATTTAATCCTCACAACCACCCCATGAGGTGGAAACTGTTATCCCATTTTACAGGTGAGAAAATCGAGGCACAGAGAAGTGATTAACAGCAATAACAATAAATTAAAAAAAAAGTTCAATTTTGGCAAAGAGTGGTAGTTTTTTCTTAGGGGTCACCAGAGGGAAATGTGGTTCTAGGGAGTTATTCCGTAATTGAACACATTGGTGTTGGTGAAGAACGTTAAATATACCATGGACTGCCAGAAAAATGAACAAGTCTGCCTTGGAAGTACAGCTAGAGTGCTGCTTTGAAGTGAGGATGGTGAGACTTCGTCTCCTGTACTTTGGGTGTGTTGAGGAGGGACCAGTCCCTGGAGAAGGACATCATGCTTGGTAAGGTAGAGGGTCAGTGAAAAAGAGGAAGACCCTCAATGAGATGGATTGACACAGTGGCTGCAGCAGTGGGCTCAAGCGGAACGATTGTGAGGATGGTGCAGGACCTGGCAGTGTTTCATTCTGTGGTACATGGGGTCGCTATGAGTCGGAAGCGACTCGATGGCACCTGAAACAACTACTACTCTACACTGGGCCCTATACTAGGTACCTGGTATACAGGTAAACAATTTGAATTTAAGCAACTGATCCTTATTCTCCTTAACTCTCCACTGGGAAATACTGATCAAAATGATTACAGACTGGTAAGGATGCTGCTCACCTTCTCTGCTCCTCCTGTTTCCACAGCTGAAAACTTTGCTCTAGTGGAGCAGCTGTTTATGGCAGGTGGACTTGAAGCAAAATTCTAACAGCCTGTATTGCTACAGTATAGAAATGAAGAGCTGCCGTGTTGCCCCGTTTGTTTTTTTTGGGATTCTTTGTGCTGCCAGAAAGGAACTTGAAGTATTCTAGAGTCCATTTTTCTGCTTCCAGACAAGGAGTTCTATTTGTAAAACCTTTTGGTGCCATTTTTTGGATACCTGCTTCCTGGCAAGAGACCTTTAGTCCTCAGCTTAGAGTTTTCTGGTTTAAAATTGCTTTTATGAGCGTGTTTTAAATAAATGCATCAGCATTTATTGGGCTTCATTGGGCTGGACTTGGCTCCAGCCTGCAGTCTGGGTTCAGATCAGATCTGCTCCCAGGGATTCATTCTGGGGCTTAGGCCCAAGGATTAGCAGCTACCTGGAGCATGCTCCTCTCCTGGCAGAGAGTTTCTAACTGTCAGAAAGCGTCAAGACTATATAAGGATTCTCCAGAATGAAAATATATGTTATATATACATTTTCCACCAAACATCAGTTACATGTTTTGTGAGTGAAATAAGCAGTGGACATTTCTCTGTCTTTCCCTATCACCGTTACTAACATTTTCTCAAACACCCTTTGGGACTTTGTTTCTAGGCAGCTGTTGTGCTGTGTATGGATGTAGGCTTTGCCACGAGTAATTCTTCTCCTGGTGAAGAATCTCCATTTGAACAAGCAAAGAAGGTGATGACCATGTTTGTCCAGCGACAGGTAAGTTTCTGATCGGCCTTGAATGTGTAGCCTATGCTTTAACTGCATTTTGCCTCTACCTACTGATGCAAGATACCAACCGCCTTACAAGGTCCAGACTCAGTGTTTTTGGGAATCTAGAGAGTTTTCTTACATATACTCACACACAAGTTCAGCTCTCACTAGAGTCTGATATTTTTTCCTTTCCATCTTCTAACCCCTCCACTGGATATTACAGTTTTTGTTAGAAACAAGAGGCATATAAGTAATTTTTTAAAAGTACAGTCTCTGGAGCCATTTGACCTGGTTTTGAATCCCTGCTCTATCATGTTCACTAACCTCATGACCTTGAATAAGTCATTTAACTTCTTCGTGCCTATTCCAGTTGTAATAAACCACTCCAACACTTAGTGTCTTAAAACAACAGCTTTTTTTTTTTTTTTTCTTTCATAGTTCTGTGGGACAGCTGGGCTCAGCTAGCTGGTAGTTCTCTGTTGGGACCTCTCATAAGGTTGCAGTTCGATGGTGGCTGGGGCTTGAGTCATCTGAAGGTACAACTGGGCTGGATGTCCAAGATGCCTCACTGTCATGGCTGGTAGTTGATGCATTCTGTCAGTGGTAAGCTCACTGGAGCCATCCACCAGAGCATGTACATGTGGCCTCTCCATGTAGCTTGGGATTCTCAGTAGGGTGGCTGGTTCTGAGAGGGAGTATCCCATGAGTGAGCATTCTAAGAGACTGTGCCTGCATGAGTTCTTACGACCTAGCTTTAGAAATCCCAGAAAATCACTTCTACTGCTTTCTATTGGTCAAGCAAGTCAGTACGGCCAGCTCCGATTCAAGGGAGGGCACTGGGCACTGCTCTTGTTTAAGGAGTAGCTTGTGTATACAGGGAGAGAAGGAATTTGTGGTGGTCTTTTTGGAGCCTACCTACCACAGTGCCTCCATTTCCCATGTGTAAAATGGGAGAAAATAATAGTACCTATCTCATAAGGTTGTTTTGATAAATTAATGAGTTAATATAGGTAAAGTGTGTGGAACAGTACTTGGCATATTGTAAACCCTGTATGAGTGTTAGCTATAATTATTACTGCCACCCCTTCCACTTGATATGACTGCCACACTTGCTAGGTCTGTGAAGTCCTGCTTCATCCACTGAGTACTGTTGCTCTCTTCTGAATGTTGCCATTTCCACTGAGCACTACTACCTCCCACCAGTCATTCTAGTTTTTCACAAATTCTGATGACCTGGAGTCCTTGAAGTATCAAAGTGGAAGAGAATGCCTTTAACCCCCTTTTCAGTTATGGTAATTTGTGTTGGTAGTATTTAAGTAGTGTTGTTGTGCCCCAATGTAGTATAGATTTTTCTCCCTTTCTTTCCAAAAAAAGTGCTCTCTTTTTTTTTATTTTTGGCTTCTTCCCATTCCGTGAGAGTCTGAGTGAACCCAGAAAGATGGCAGACAAAGCCTGGTGACAGTCCCATGCTACACTCAAAGTTTCCCCCCCTCCCGTAACTGAGGTTTTGCTGTTGGAGAAAGACTACCCTCCCTTGAATGAATTCTTGTCCAGGAGGTAGATAGGATTCTGGCTGGTTGGCCTCACCAGTTTGCTGGACATGTTTGAACTTCAGTAGGTGACTGGGACCTTTGTTCCATGTACAACTGGGAATTATAGCTGGAATAGTGAACAGACTTGGGGATTTAACAGACCAAACAGGTGAAAGGCGACCGTTTCATTCTTTCCCCGTGCGGTGCTCTTCTCCATTGATGTAAAAGGCTTATGTTAGTAATTAGGTGGGGGCGGAACTGCTGTTTGTGTCAGATAACTGTTTTTTGTTTTTTCCATTTTGTTTATGAAAGCTTTCATAAAAGAGACAAATACAGAAAATAATATAACTACCCAAGGTTTCCCATTGTCTAGCACTATACAGTCCTAATGTTTTACCATACTTGTGTGATTTCTTTTTTTTTCCTTAAATAGAATATTACAGATACACTTGAAGTCCCTTGTATATCTCTCCCTAATCCTGTTCTTTCCTCAGAATTTTGGTAATTATCATTACCATGCATGTTTTATACTTTTGTCAGATAAGCATATCTTCATAAATAATATTCAGTATTATAAAAGTTCTCAAAACTGTATATATGTGATATCATATGGTACATATAATTCTGCAGCTTATTTTTTTTCTCAACCTTATGTTTTTGAGATATATTTATGGTGATGAATGTTGTGCACATTTATTCATTTTTACTGGGGTATAATATTCCATTGGATAAATATTCCACAATGTATTTTTGCATTCTCCTATTGATGTATAGTTTCTAGTTTTGCCCTGTTATAAACAATGCTGAAGTTCACTTCCTTGTCCATTGACTCCTTGCCTACATGTTCAGGAATTTCTCTAGGCTATATATACCTGTAAGTGGAATTGCTGAGACATAGGGTATGAACCAGCAATTTTTTTTTTTTTTAATCCTTGGAAAATTTAAACCTTGCATAGTCATTCCAAAAAGACTGACTAAAATCTTTTCATAGTTTTCATTGAGTATTAGAATCTGATTTGGGTGGAAGTCATCAAGGGCAGTTACCACTGTTCGTATTATCCCTACCTTAGCTTGTGATGACATGAAGGATGGGACCTGTAGTCATTGGAAAAGTTGGCTTAGAACCTGGGAATTATCCTTGTTCATCAGGTCCATGGTTCATCCAGGTCAACGTTCTGGTTTTGACAGTGGCCTAAGAGACCCACCATAGAGAGGCTCCCTGCAGATTAGGTACCTAAAGGCTTCCAGTTGGTAGTAATATCATTTTCAAACTTCTAACATTTTTCTCTAGGTGTTTGCTGAGAGCAAGGATGAGATTGCTTTAGTCCTGTTTGGTACGGATGGCACTGAGAATGCCCTTGCTCAGGCAGATCAGTATCAGAACATCACAGTGCACAGACATCTGATGCTACCAGATTTTGATTTGCTGGAGGACATTCAAAGCAAAATCCAACCAGGTTCTCAACATGCTGATGGTATCCTTTTTTCAGCCAGAGAAGACTCTTAAGAAATTTCCTTTTGTCTGGGGAATCATAATCCAGTTTGGGGAGGCTTTCTCAGAGTCCCAGCTATGATTATATGGATGGTTTGGGCTCTGAGGACATGGAGGAGATGCCTGTTGGGATTTAATGTGAAGTTAATCCGGTGCCCCTTCTCTACACTGGTGATCAGGATATTGAGCTATTAGGATGAATAGAAAGGGGAAGATAACTAGGGGGCATATATTCGTATTGATTATGTACAGAGGGTTCAGTGGTGGTGATGGTTAGAAATGTTTGCAGGTAGAGAGGTAGAGAAAAGATATCTTTAGAAGAGTATAGCATTAGAATTCTCCACTGTTTTTGAGATGGGGGATTTTTTTTGGTGCCAAAAATTAGATTGATATCCAAACTCAGATTTCCAATTTCTTCCACTTGCCCGTTAATTTTAAGAAGTTATTTTTCTAAATGGAAACCCTGGTGGCGTAGTGGTTAAGTGCTACAGCTGCTAACCAAAAAGTCAGCAGTTTGAATCCACCAGGCACTCCCTGGAAGCTCTGTGGGGCAGTTCTACCCTGTCCTATAGCATCACTATGAGTCGGAATCGACTTTACGCAATGGGTTTATTTTTCTAAACAATTAATAGTGCCATCCCTGATCACTGGGAGGTGCTGTTGTGCTGGAAGTGACTTGCAAATACTACATTGTGGCTCACTTTGTACTTAATATTCATCAAAAAAGTGGGCTTTTGATACTGTAAAATGGCATCATGATTTTTGGTTCAGTGAATGGAATGTGGTAGATTAGCTTTTGTTTGATTTTCTTAGTTGTGTGTCAGGATGTACATATGTCAGTATGCACTAGTGAAATAAACTTTGGAACAAGGGCACCTGGGCAAGTACTTTTAATCAACACATAGTCAGCCCACAGCCCACAATTTCTAGCACTGTGGACTTTGCTGGAAAACAGACATTGCTTGTTCTTGGAATAAAGGGACTGTGCAGCACCATCTTCTGCCCTTGACTAGCTGAGTCCTGGATGCACTCGTCGTGTGCATGGATGTGATTCAGCAAGAAACCGTGTAAGTGTTTTAACTGAAGAGAGTTGGAAATGGGCCTTTCTACAAACATTGAAGAGTTGATGCAGTCATTACACTCTGATTCATTGTTAATCAAGCAGCATGTTTGTGTGTCTAAAGAAACATTCGACGAAATTCAATGGCTCTGTTCAACCTCTGTGTTTCTTTAAAAGTTTATAGAAGACAGGGCTGTACTTGATGGGAATTTCTCTGGGAGAAATAAACCTTTGGCTTATTTCAAGTTCTTTGCTATAATGACTTAAGCTAATTACCAAGAATTTTTTTTTTTTTAAATAGCAACGGGTATGATGTATATGTAAATTAAATAAATGCATAGTAATTCTGGCCAGCTTCCTTACGCACTCCTAATTTAACTACACACATGCTTATGCACGTGCGCGCTCACGTGCGCATCCCTTGCCTGTTAGGAAAAGCATCTGCACTAAAATCTCAGGCCTAAATCTTTATTATCATTTCCCACAGTTTGTAAAATTCTGCCTCGAGTCTTGTGTATGGAATCAGAGCATTTGGAAAGTGAACCCTTTTAAGGCTTAAGTTAGGGCACACTAATAGAGTTCCTTGTTTACATGCTGCCATTATGCTCAGAAATTTCACCCAAGATGTTAAAAATATGAGCTATATTAGGGTCGATTATGTGTATAATAGATCTTAACTGAGCATCAACAATACGTGAATGTCTAAATGCAATAGCATTTGTTAATGGTATCTAGATTCATTCCTTAGCCTCTCTCTAGCTTGGTGACAAAGTATTTGAATTTGTAGAATGTGATTTAGGAGAATGATTTCTGAACATGATGTTTCTGTCTTTTAGAGGAAAGAAGTTTGACAAGAGGCATATTGAAGTGTTCACTGACCTCAGCAGCCCATTCAGCAAAGATCAGTTGGATGTTATAATTCATAACTTGAAGCAGTCTGGCATCTCCTTGCAATTCTTGTAAGATCCTAAGAGTAAAGTATGTAGACAAATCCTGTGATCTCATAATGAGGGCATAAATGCAGTGAGTGGAACCCCTGTATAAAGTTCTTGGTTCACAAGAGTCTTCTCTTTCTTTTCTCAGGTGGAACCTGTCACATCACTGTAGTCAGCAAACATTTACTGATTACTCTCTATGTCCTAGGAACTGTCCTGAGTTTTGGTGATAAAGAGATGAAAGGCATAGTAATACAGAGGAATTTAGCTCAGTTTCAGACCATTTGTTCACTGTTCTTGGGGTCACAGAATGAGGAATTAGAGGAGTCTTTTGAGGACATTCAGTTCATCTCCTAACTACATAGAGGACTTTGCCTAAACAATTACCAGATTGATAGATGGCTTCTTTTCATAAACAGCTCTAGAGAACTGTAATCCTACAGACAGTAGAGTGGAGAGATGTATTTTTGGGGTAGAGAGAAATGTCAACTTGAATATCAGTTCAATACGTATTAATGTTTATTTTGAATTCTGTTTTCATAACTAAAGTCACTTTATTTAGGAACAAAATACTTCAGGAACATTAAAAAAATTTAACTTGCTCAGTATATTTAGAGATGGGGGATTCAAATTCAGGGGGAAAAGATGTGTATTTCACAGTTTGTTGGAGAGAGAGCACCCCCCACCCCCCACCCCAAATAACTTGAATTTCCTCACCAGGCATTTACTTTCTCTAGCTTATATCCTCCCTAACAGAAAGTTCTTTTTACTACATTAATCCTTCCTGCTGCGTTTGAAACCGATTTCCTTTTCTTCTTTTTTCTTTTTAAATTGTGATTTAGGTGAAAGTTTATGGAGCAAATTAGTTTCTCATTCAAAATTTATATACAAATTGTTTCATGACGTTGGCTGCAGTCCTGCATCGTGTCAGCCCTCTCCCCCTTTCCCTTACCACACCAGGGTCACTGCATCCGTTCATCCAGTTTTCCTATCCCCTTCTGCCTTCTCATCCTTGTTCCTAGGCAGATGTTGCCCATTTGATCAGTATACTTGAGTGATCTAAGAAGCACGTTCCTCATGTGTGTTATTGTTTGTCTTATGAACCTGCCTAATCTTTGTCTGAAAGGTGAAGTTCGGGAGTGGCTTCAAGTCTGAGTTAGAAGGGTGTCTGGGGGTCATAGTCTCTAGGATTACTCTAGTCTCTCAGACCAGTAAATCTAGTATTTTTTGTGAATTTAATCATTTTTTTCTACATTTTTCTTCTGCTCTGTCCGGGACCGTCTATTGTAATCCCAGTCAGAGCAGTCTGTAGTGATAGCTGGCACCATCCAGTTCTTCTGGTCTTGGGGTCTTGTAGGCTGTCGTTCGTATGGTCCTTTAGTCCTTTGGACTCATTACTCACTTGGGTCTTTAGTATTTTTCCCTCTGCTTTGCTCCGGACTAGAAAGCCGATTTCTTCTTGTCCTATTTTTGGTGAAATCAGAGTGATGATAGAGGATGTTGAATTATTAAAGTCTTTTGGGAACACTCATTTTTCAAATTGAAGGCTATACCGAGAAGCCTCCAGCTCAGAGTGGTAAGCCTTTGGCTCCTTCACAGTACCTGCCGTGGGGAATTATGAACCTTTCTTGCATGTATGCACCTCGTAAGAGTGCTGGGGGGCATCTTGCTTCTGTAGAACTGTAGAAAAATAGTTCAGAATAACCCATCAAACTGATACTTGTTAAGACGGTACGTCAGAGAAATGAAGGGCTTTTTAAGTGACACTTCTCTTCTTACTGAGTTGAGGTTTTCTCACAACTTCAAAAGCCCCGCACAGCTTCTCATCCTTGTTCTTAATCTCAGGATAACCTTTACATGGTTGAAGCATACCGCACTTCTGTCCATATCATTTTAAAGGGCTACTTTTTGGGTATGAGCAATATAGTAAAGCATGCTTAAGAGGGAACTTAGCTTTTTCTTTGACTTGCTTGTTATTTGATCAGTTGTGTTTTTTTCCTGAATCATAACCTTTCTTCTTGTGCTGCAAATCTCCGGCAAACAGGTGGAGTTTATGGTTTTATTGTTTGGTGTATCCCATATATGACTGATTGTCCTGGTAGTACTAAAAAGACACCAGCAGCCCAAAGAAGCACTGAGCTCTCAGCAGGCTTGTTCGTCAGACGTACATCTTAGTTTCTAGTGACTACTGAGAATGTTTATTTCTGGTCTAATGTAGGGCAAAAACAACTGTTATAACTTCTTTTTTTGGAATAACTTACCGACACTTTTCTTTTTTATGACTTTCTTCCCTTCTTCCTGGTTGATGCTATGGAAACAGCCATAATCTGATACCAGTGTGCCATTTCCTGCTCTCTGGGAGCTCATTATCTGATAGGTAATGCAGGAGAAGCAAATTTTTCATACTAAGTATAAACCCAAACCAATCTGGTTACCATGAGTCAACTCCGACTCATGGCGACCCCATGTGTATCAGAGTAGAACTGTGCTCCATGGGGATTTCAGTGGCTGATTTTTCAGAAGTAGATCACTGGGCCTTTCTTCCAAGGCACCTCTGCATGGACTCAAACCACCAACCTTTCAGTGAGCAGCTGAGTGCTTAGTATACTTAGAAAAAAAATTAAACACAAGGCCCTAATTATAGCAAATAAAATGATAGAGAAATCATCTTAAAAATAGCAGTTCACATAAAGATGACCAACAGGTAATCTCAGGTGAACTGAAAAGATTGCTGAATTTTTAGCCTTTTAGTTTTTCAGGGGCAAAGTAACGTAGTGTGGGACATTGGAAAGAACCTTGTTCTCGAGTCAGGTGACTGAGTATTCTGTCACTTGTTAGCCGTGGGGCTTTTGCCAGATTATTTCATCTTTATAGAGAATTGAGATAGAAACCTCTGTCCACCTAATATGTAAGGATTAAATAAGATTATTTATATGAAAACATTTATAAAGGGCCATATAGAATTTTACCATAAGAAGTATGTAATTGGATTATTTTTCAGTTTCTATATTGATTATTGACTATCCGCATGACTGGTCATCTCAGTCTAGTTTTAGTCTCATTTCAGTCAAACAACTGGAGCAAAACACAAGAACAAAACTGGGTTTTATCTATTTTTAGCAGTTAATTGGTATTTGTATAGGAATTCTATATCTATAGTACTAATGATAATCATATTTGGGTTTTATGAATTTTACACACATTTTCTTATTTAATCCTTATAATCACCTTGAGGGATCATTGGTGGGAATTTATTTACTTATTTTGTCTGCCTAGAATAGCACCCAATCTTTTTCTAGGAAGCAGTCCTTCCTGAACTCTGACCTTGTAGCCGAAATGAGGACTGTCGTCTTCTTTTAGATCTGGCTCAGCCTGCCATTCATTAGTCAAGTGGTAGGACATCTGGCCCAAACTAGGCCAATCAGAACCCTTTCCTGTTTCTCTTTTTTCTTTTTTTTCCCCCTTGAATTAGATACTAGAGAGTTAAACACTCAGTCCCACCAAACTAGGCCAATCAGAATCCTTTCCTGTTTTTCTTTTCTTAAATTAGATACTAGAGGGTTAAACGCTCACCCCCTCTTCGTAGTGGAGTTGGGCAGATGCGAGCATGAGGTGTTCAGAGGCAGTATGGAGGAAGCCAGTCAGAGAATGAAGGCAGCATGAAGACAAGGGAAGATGAGATCTGGAGAGAGAGTGTGAGAAGGTCAACTGTTCCTTGTAGTCATCCGTAAGGCCACGTGCAATCCTGATCTTTTAATTATTTGATTATTTAAACCAATAAGTTCCCCCTTTTTACTGTATCAGAGAGGTTTCTGTCACTTGAAACTGAAAGAGGATTGACTAAGGTAGGTAGGTGCGATTTGACAGCTGAGAAGTACGAAGCTCAGTGAGGTTGACTGATGTGCTCGTTTTCACGGAGCTAATGAATGACTGTCATAGGATTGGAGCCCTGCTTATTCTTTGACCTTAGAACTTGTCCTTTTAACTACTGCTGATCTTATCCTAATAGCTTGCCATTCCCACTTGGGAAGGAAGATGGAACTGGGGACAGAGGGGACGGCAACTTGCTCTTGGACCACCATGAACCCTCCTTTCCTCAAAAAGGAATTACTGAGCAGCAAAAAGAAGGTATTGAGGTGGTGAAAAGGGTGATGATCTCTTTAGAAGGTGAAGATGGGCTGGATGAAATTTATTCCTTCAGGTAAGAAGCGAGAGCATTGTTTAGAACTTTTTAGTCATACCCATATAAATATCTCTTTTGATCAGAAGTCTGCTGTTTGCTTTTCTGGACTACTTCTTTGATTTGGCAGTTAATATTCTGAGTTTTATTAAAGAAATGATGTGCCAAACCTTCTCTCCTTCCTTTTAAAAACTTGCGTGATTGGCACAAGGTTCCTAATTTATTTCCAAGACCTGTGTCAGTGAAGGGAAATACATAGATACGGAAGAGATTTAATAAATCCAACGTAAAAGATGAAGTAGTAGATTTTTTTCTTTATGCTAAACTTGAGGCACATTTCTTGGGCCCTTCCCTTTTCATATGCCTGCAAAAAAATTCTTGATTTTAAGTGATACCATATCTTGGATACCTAATATCCTCTTATCCTCTGATTTAGGTTTTAGAGATAGCATATTGTGATAAGGAGCCCTGGTGGTGCAGTGGTTAAGCTTTTGCCTGCTAACCAAAAGGTCTGCAGTTCGAATCCAAGCCACTGCTTGGAAACCCTATGGGGCAGTTCTGCACTATCCAGTAGGGTCACTATGAGTCAGAATCAACTTGGCGGCAGTGGGTTTTATTTGTTTTGTTTTCGTTATATTATGATAAAGTAGCTCTTTAAAAAAACTGTTGGTCACAAAATATTTTGGTCAGGTAAAACAAGCAAACAAAAACAAACAACCCCCAAAGTGTAAAGAATTCCTAGCCTGCTTATTTCATGTGGATGTTGTAAAGGCAAAATGATTTATGAAATGTGAAAGCCTTGAAATACCGTGTAAATATAAAGCCAACTGCTTTATTGTTGGTTGAAACTGGACATGCATTTATTTTGAGCATGTCGAATAGTATGTGCTTGGGGGGCCTGATTTGATAAAAGCAACAGTACTTAACCAAGCAGTATGGCTTGTGCAGGTTCAGATTCTCGGGGATAATACCCCTTGATGTTCATGAATCAATTCCAGTTTATCAATAAATACACAAAATACAGGTAGTTTAAACACAGTTCTTAGATTAAGTAAAATTTCAACAATTAGAACTTTTTTGAGTAGCTACAGTATATATCTGCTTTAATTTTTTTTCAACCACAATTTTTAAATATTTCTGATGAGCTGTAATTGAAAAGTAGTACCTCCTGATTTTCTAAATATAGACATTCTTGGAAAATTATAGGCAAATGGAAATTTTGGAAATGGAATTGTAGTTTCATAAGGGGCTGCTGAAGGAAATCGGTGAGGAGTCCTATAAAGTGAAGTTTCTTTTCATACTGCAAAGATGTGTTTCTAAGCTCTTTTTCATTCAAATTTGAACATGGTTTACTCTAAAGAGAGGATATATGCCTTAAGCTAACATAGTAACCATGATATAATCATGTATTGACCTATAAGAAAAGTCACAGGCCAATACAAATTATATTAAAAGTTTATTTTTTTCTGTAGTATGTCATAGCAATAGGTAAATTGCTGACTAAGCATTGTCCTAGCAATTTGAAGCTACTTTAATTGTAGGTCAGCTCTGGAGATGTGGACCATAACTGCACCGCCCCATACGGTAGTCATTAGCCACATGTAACTGTTTAAAACTAATTAAAATTAAATAAAATTAAAAATTTAGTCCCTCAGTCATATTAGTCACATTTCAAGTGTTCATAGCCACATATGGCTTGTGGCTTATCCTGCTGGATGATGTGGTTAGAAATAGACCAGTTCCATTATTGCAGAAAATTGTATTGGATAACTTGACTTCTGGTTGGGGTGATTCACATCTACTACAGAACTGACCCAGTTGTTGTTAGTTGTTACATATTGAATACCGGTCCTTAGACCCGCCCCTGAAACAGAATCCAAACCTCATGTTGGTTTTAGACCTGACTGATATTTGGGCTTGTTTGAGACCTGTTAGACCTGGTTCAGAACCATGCATTCCCCAGGAAAACCAAAGCCCAGGTGTACTATAAGCTTTGGTAGAATGTCTGTTATTTGTTGTAAATTATTTCTTAAAATTGGAATCTCTTGAGGCGTCTCTGGTCACAACTATGTGGATAATATCAGATAATTCTCTTTACCTCTTTGTAGATCTCTTCTTTATTTGTTCCAAGGAGATAAGTCATAAAGTCTGGACTGTGTGCCTTGAGTGTGTTTAGACGTTAACTCCTTTGCCTCTTATTTTAGTGAACACCACAGATTCTGTCTCCTATAATCTTCTCTATTGTGTTTGATTAGAGCCCAGATTAAAAAAAAAAAAGGTTTGATCTTCTTCACTTCTGATCAAATGAAGTAGTACTTTCTACATTGTGTTTGCTTACCCTTTCCCCCTAGTAAGAAATCTAAAGTTATTTGCTTTACCTTAAGGTTAAGACTAGATATGGACTACTAAATTCCTTTTTCCTCTAGATAATCTTTATTTAACTGTCTATTGCATACATGTAAAAACGTATTAGACCTTTTATTTAAGACAGTTGGAGTTAACTAATGAATTGTAGAGTTGTGAGTGGCAGTGTTATAGGATGGTACCCATCCTCTGATGTTCTAGAGCAGGAATTCTTATCCTCAGGTCTGTGGTTTTCAGGGAGTTGGTGAACCTTTTATGTGGTGTACAAACTAATTTATCAGTGTGCATTCGTCATATTCTTAAAGGTGTCCTTGGTGCTGAAAAAAATGTCAAGAACCACTGGCTGAGTAGAAAGAAAAGCTTGAATAGGGGAAGATGGAGATGTTCATTTTCACCTGTCAGTAAAGTAATTCAACTCCTTGCTCCTAAGCCAATTGTCTTGTGTTCTGGCTCTCTCCCAACTTGTAGTTGTCATTTTCCTGCCATCCCCTGCTGTTCCTTTCTTTATGATCAACAACAGCTCACTTATTCTAGAAAATAAATGCATCATACAGCACAAGTTAACACTTTGAAAGCGTTGCTTTCACTGTATGTTTTTCTTTATTAAGTGAGAGCCTGAGACAACTGTGTGTCTTTAAGAAAATTGAGAGACGCTCTGTGCCCTGGCCTTGTCAGCTGACCATTGGCTCCCATTTGTCCATAAAGATTGTGGCCTATAAATCGGTAAGTGGTAGGTTCACATTTTTAAAAGAAATTTAGGACAGATAAATATGCTTATATAGGTAACTGACAATTCAGGTGTGGGTTATTCAGCACTGTAATTGCTGCTTCTGTAACTGCTCCCCCTATTCACTGAATCTCTCTTTAGCTTTTTCTGTAAAAGTATCCTGGGAGAGGAAGTTTTAAGAATTGTTTATAATAGAATTTGATTCCCACCTCTTTCTCTTTCTCTTCATAAATAATTGAGAGTTAATCATGAGTTTGGGCCCTTTTCTTTTTTTTAAGAAAGAATGTGAAATGCATTAAGTTGTGGCTTTGTAGTAGCATAGCAGAAATACAGATATGCACCCGAGTTAAAAGGTTCAGCATTTTGGAGACTCAGTCACACCTAATTGAATTATTAATGATTTGGTAGTAACATCATCTATGAAATATCAAAAAATAGTGAGTTGTTACTGTGAAATTGCATTTTGTGATAGTTGTTATGTTTGTACATAAAAGAACGTTTTAAAAAACGAGGTGCTTTTGGTGATTATTTGATGAAATTCCCGTATGATTTGGAGCTTGGTCCATGCCTCCACGTGAACTTCCTTACCTTTTTTTCTTATAAGTGTTCAAAATAAATATATAGAAACATTTTAAATATACAAAATAAATGTACAAAACCACGTGTTTATATATTCAAATGTTTTTTCTATATTCAAGGACTTAATTCCAAAACACATAGTTGTTGTTGTTGGGTGCCTTCAAGTCAGTTCTGACTCATAGCAACCCTGTGTACAACAGAATGAAACACTGCCTGATCCTGTGCCATCCTCACGATCGTCATTGTGCTTGAGCCCATTGTTGCAGCCACTGTGTCCGTCTCGTTGAGGGTCTTCCTCTTTTTCACTGACCCTCTACTTTCCCAAGCATGATGTCCTTCTCCAGGGACTTTTCCCTCCTGATAACATGTCTAAAGTATGTGAGATGTAGTATCGCCATCCTTGCTTCTAAGGAGCATTCTGGTTGTATTTCTTTCAAGACAAAACACATGGTACATCCATGAAAACTGTGGCGGTAGGTTTTTTTTATTTATTCAGGTTCCATTAAGTCCTAGAGTAGTATCCCTAGAAATGAGAATGCAGCCCCTTCCCTTTCTTCTTTTTTCTGGCTTCATTTTCAAATTTCCATGTTGATTATGACTACTGATAGATTGCTCTCCCTTTTCTGTTAGAAAACTGATAACAAAATGTATGGTCTCCCTTAGGAGGAATTCATTTATTTGAATGAGTTAATGTCTATTAGACAGTCTGAGGAGTTTGTATAGGAAGTGCCTACGTCTAAACAAAATATTAATATTTATCTGTAGATTAAGGAGCCCTGATGGCACAGTGGCTGAGCACTCGGCTGCTAACCTGAAGGTCGGCAGTTCGAACACACCAGCCACTCTGTGGGAAAACAATGTGGCAGTCTGCTTCTGTAAAGCTTTACAGCCTTGGAAATCCTATGGGCCAGTTCCATTCTGTCCTACAGGGTTGCTGTGAGTTGGAATCGACTCGACACCTGTGTGTTTTGGTGTTGAGTTGTCTGTAGATTACCTTGGGGGGGAAAAGAAATGTAGAGACACTTTGTATCCTATTATGAAATGAACCAAGAATTCCATAATAGGCAAGAGCAAACAAAACAATGTAGCTAGAGTAAATGTTCTGGATTTTTCTGTGTGAACCAGAGAGTATATTAGGTTTTTTTTCTATCTGTCAGAATCATTAGCTTTCTATGTTGTCCCTTTATTTTTCTTTTGGAAATAAGATTATACAGGAGAAAATTAAAAAGACTTGGACAGTTGTGGATGCAAGAACCCTAAAAAAGGAAGATATTCAGAAAGAAACAGTTTATTGCTTAAATGATGATGATGAAACTGAGGTTCCAAAAGAGGATACTATTCAAGGTATGCCAATAAGAGTTTTCACTCTTGCCTAGAAGAGATTTTCTTCAAGATGATATGAGGCACATATGATTTGTATTATTATTGATTTAGATATATTTATTTTTCTGAGTTACAGAGATGTAGCAATTTGAGGGGATAATGAGGCCCTAGATCCTTTAGCTAATCTGCTGGGTCTTAGGATGGTTTCCAGGAGTATACGGTTATGTGGGTATTCTATCTCTGTGTTTTAAATGTCTCAGCTGACAGGACTTCATACTTGGCTTTATTTTAAAGTTTGAAGTTCATTAGCTAGGTGAATGCTTATTTTAATGTGGTTGAAGCAATCTTTTTTTTTTGTTTACTCTGTTTTCTTTTTGACTTCCATGGTGATTATTCTTTTAATTGACTATTTAAGGTCTATTTCCTGCCAAATATGCTTCCTTAGGAGCCCTGGTGACAAAGTGGTTAAGAGCTCAGGCTGCTAACCAAAAGGTTGGCAGTTGGAATCCACCAGCCATTCCTCGGAAACCCTATTGGGGGAGTTCTTCTCTGTCCTGTAGGGTTGCTGTGAGTCGGAATTGACTCGACATACAACAACAACAACATGCTTCCTTAAGTTAACTTCTCGTTGTTGTTATGTGCTGTCAAGTCACTTCTGACTCATCGCAACCCTATATCCTATATACAACAGAATGAAACACTGCCTGATCCTGTGCCATCCTCACAGTTGTTGTTAACTTAGGGGACAAGAAAAATTATTTGTATTTGTTAAGTTGCTCTCACTAGTATCTTTAAAATTATGCTTCATATATTATACCCATTTGGCATTGTAGTGTGTCTAGATGGCATCTCTGTCCGAAGGACTTAGAAACTAGCTGAGTGTCTGAATGTTCAGGAGCTAAAACTTATAAGATACTGAATAATGATTAAGATAGAACCAGGGTCTTTAGATAATTTATTGCTAGAGTATGTACTACCCAGCATAGTTTTAATTTGCCAATCTTGAAAAAAATTCCTGTTCTGTGGCACCGTGCCTTATTGTTTGTGCATATTTATGGGGAGTGGATAGAGGCGCTAGCTAGGTATGGGTGATGGTGGTTATGATTTCCTGACAGATTAAGTATAGAATGTAGCTAATATCCTACGATCTTTACTAGTTCTTTAATTCAATTCAGTAGAATAGTGTAGATACGAACATGCGCTTTGGAGTTAGAGCTGGGTTAGAGTCATGGCTCCATCACTTACTGATCATTTGATGTTAGTATAATGACTTAACCACTGCGCCACCAGGGCTCCTTGTAGGAAGAAAAGCATGATTAAAGGCACGAGACCAGGACAGTAGAGGGTCTTCTTAGGAATATCAAGTTGTCTAGATCAGTTGATGTAATGGGCTTATATTGATTAGTACTGGAGGATAGTACCTAATAGACACCCAGCATTTTCTCTTTTAATTGTCACAACAACTTTATGAAGTAGGCACTCTTGTTATTTCCATTTTACAGATAAGGGAACTGAAGCTGAAAGATGTTTATTAACTTATTCAAAGCCACACAGCCACTGGCAGAACTAGAACTCTAACCCAGAGCTATCTGACTTCAGAGTCTGTGCTCCTACTTTTTTATTCTGAATTTGGTCTTAGTTTTGAAGGGCTTTGACTAATAGGCTGGAGTTTATACTTAATTTTGAAAGCAACATGGAACTGTTTATAGTTTTGAGAAGCAGAGTATCATTATCGGGGCTGTGTTTTAGGAAGATTAATGTGACAGCTGAGTGTAGGTTGGATTGGAAGGAGAAGGGGCTACAGAAAAGGGTGCCAATTCCTTTGGTTGCAAGCAAAGTAGCTCTGGTTATCTTAGGCTAAAAGAAATTTATTGGCCAGGCAGTAGAGGGAGGAGTTAAAAATTGTTTGGGTTTAAAGAGCATAGAAGTAACGTTTTTCTCCCTTACCTTTTTGCAATTACCTGTGTACTTCCTTTGCCTGTTCTCCACTCCTTAATGTATAGAATTTTCTTTCGTAGAGATGTTAATATATACGTGTGGGCAAAGGGATATGGTTATATGTTGTAGTCTATTCTATACTTTTTGCCATGTACAGAGGATAAAGTTATTTATTTGACCTTTAAGTAGATAAACCAGAAAATACCAGACAATCTTAATTAGAATTTTCAAGATGACTAATCACAGAGAAAAGTTAGAAAAAACATTTGGTTTCAGATAGCACTCTTAATCATGTGCCATATGTTTCCCTGTTGTTAATTTTTTGTTGGAATTTTTATTTTGTTTTCATTGCCAGATTTTTTAAAAAGACATATATGTAAATAGAAGTTTGTTTCTTGTTGATTAAATACATGACAACATCAACAGACTGACAAGAACAAGTAATCAGCGATCACAGAATCTGCCCCCAGACACAAGTTTTATGTGTCTTGGAGTAAAGGTGCACGTGCTTTTCCGTTCCATTTGCCCAAGGCCAGAACCCTCAGATTTTGATGAATCTTCTCTCACCAGACAGACACTGTGTGTTGAAAGGGCATGCATGACCTTTCATAGGGCAAAGAGCATGAGACAGGGTTGAAGTTTTTGTTGTTTTTTTGAAGTGAAGAACTTATGTCCTAAATAAGTAAAAGGAAGAAATTATACACTCAAATCTCATAAATAAATTTAAATGTAGAATAATATGCAACTTATCATTGGAATTTTTCTAAATAGAAGAGTTTTGGCTTCTTCCATGAGGCGTTTGTGTCCCTCCAGGGTGCGTTTTTGAGTACATTTTGTTCTGAAAATTTCCTATGGGCATTTTCAGGTTTCTGAATAAATGTGTTCTTGTTATTATGTTTACAAATCATGCATGTACTTTAGTCAACCATGGTTTATCTTTGGAGGATAACTAGTACAGTGCATTTGCTTCATTTTTTCTTCCAGGCCAGATAATCATGAAAGTAACTAGATTGCAGAAAATGCTGCTTAAAAAATGTAATTATATTTTAATTATCTGAGTAATGTTTCTGTTGTTTGTGTATTTGCTTCTTTTTTCCCATTGATCAAAAGGGGCAGTAATTTGATTTCAGAGAATAGTATATGGAGACTTGCTCTGGAGTGTGCATGTACTGTTAATGTATATGTAGAGCTAATTTCAGCTTGTAGAAAATGAGGCCCCATGTGCTTAACAGATGTTCTTTTCCTGTTCTCTAGGGTTCCGCTATGGAAGTGATATAGTTCCTTTCTCTAAAGTGGATGAGGAACAAATGAAATATAAATTAGAGGGGAAGTGCTTCTCTGTTTTGGGATTTTGCAGATCTTCTCAGGTATAGCACTTATTCTATAATTATAAACAAAATAAATGAGCTTTATTCTAGTTACTACTTGAGATGATGCTTTTGATTAGTCCTTTTAGTTACAATATATATTTACTTCACTTTTATTTTCTCCAAAACAGTCTAGGGGTTACTGTTATCATCTTTTATTCTTTGAGGAAATGAACCAAGATATAGTGAATTTAAGTAACATCCGGTCTTAGTATGAGTCTGAAGAATAGATTGAATTAAGTTACTTCTTAGCATTGCTGGACTTCACAGCTCATAGTAGCCTTAAAGAAACAGAATTCATTCTTTGTTGTTGTGTTGCTTTCTCTCAACTGTTATGTATAAATGGAGTGTTTTGGAGGACTAAAGGTCTGGCTGGGTTTTGAATAACCGTAGAGCTCTTAGAACTCCCAACGTAGAGTTCTAGGATGTGAAACCAGTCTGTAAGTCATAATTTTTTAGACACTAATGCAGAGATACACAACTGGACACAGTGGGAAATGCAGTAATTCTGTGAGGGCTATGCAGTACCTTATATCACCCTAAACCAAACCAAACCTGTTGCCATTGAGTCAGTTCCAGCTCATGGCGACCCCATGTGTTACAGAGTAGAACTGTTCCATTGGGTTTTCTTGGCTGTAATCTTTACAAAAGCAGATTGTCAGGTCTTTGTTTCATGATGCTTTGGGTGGGGTCGAACTGCCAACTTTAGGTTAGTAGTCGAGCGCAAACTGGCTGCGCCACCCAGGGATCTCCTATACTATCCCAGAAGTAGTTACTAAAATATTCTCAGAGATCTTAGATTAAATGCTTTTGTGGTAGGTAACCAAAGAGATGGATCATAATTAATAAGTGTAAAGTATGTCTTTTTTATATATGTTTTACCTAGACCCAGTAGCATAGGGACTGAAAGGATTTTGGTTGGTTCTCGAAGATACTAAGTAAGAATTATAATGAAAATATGTATCTATCCAATACACTGGATTTGAACTTCCCCATGCTGCTCTAGCGTATAGTCCCTATGTACTTTCCTGTTACTACAGTGTTGTTGGGGGGAATGTTTTCATGGTATGCCCAAACGTTTATATACATCTTCAGGATCCATAAGCACAAAATTGAGAGTATTTACTTACAAGTCTGTAAGATTTTAATGGTAAGAATAAATGCTTTTTGGAAGTTGAAATCGATTTATATGTAATTCTCCAACAAGTTACTCTAAATATGCTTCTTTTAAAAATAAAATTCTTCACTTTGGGAAGTATGTGAACTTAAAACTTATGATTGCTAATGACAATGCTTATGAGTCTTTTCTGTGGCAAAAAACTCTCATTCAGACCTGTTCGTAGAAACTAGCCTGTTAGGAAGTGAGTCAGCCCGATTCCAGATAGAACAATCTGAAAATATAATTCAGGATTCAAAAAGTTGAAATCACCTATGGCAGAGTGGGAGTGGGAGGCTATTTAGTTAAATGACAAACCAAAAAGGAATAAACTGAACAAAAATATATTTTTCATTTTAAAAGACTGTTGTATTAACTAAAAACAACTTTTAAACCATGAAGTGTTTCTAAATCAAATTTTTGTTGCTTTTAAGCCTAAATCAATTTTATCTTATCTTAAACAAGTACAATCTCAGATGGGTACAGTGATAATAATAACTACCACTTATTGAATGATTACAGTATTCCAGTCAATCTACTAAGCAGTTTATGTAAATTCTTATTTAATTCTTATTACAACCCTCTCAAGTAGATATTGTTATCTGTATTTTATACATTAGGAAATTGAAATTTGGAGCTGGTAAGTAACTGTCCCAAGGTTTTGAATCAGGTCTCTTTGACTCCAAAGCCTATACCATTACCCGTTGCCCTCAAGTTGTTTCTGACTCATAGCGACCCTGTAAGACAGAGTAGAACTGCCCCATAGGGTTTCCAAGACTAATCTTCACAGAAGCAAACTGCCACATCTGTCTCCTATAGAGCAGCTGGTAAGTTCGAACCTGCTGACCTTGCAGTTAGCAGCTGAGTGCTTAACTACTGCACCATTAGGGTTCCTAAAACCAAACCCATTGCCATTGAGCTGATTCCGACTCATAGCAACCCTATAGGACAGAGTAGAACTGCCCCGTAGGGTCTCCTAGGCTGTAATCTTTATGGAAGCAGACTGCCACAGCTTTCTCCTGCAGAGTGGCTGGTGGGTTAGAACTGCTGACCTTTTGATTAGCAGCCAAGTGCTTAACCACAGTGCCACCAGGGCTCCTTGACCTGTACCATTAGTCTTTTGTAATTTGCCCACCAGATGGACAAGCTCGTTTTCGAATAGTCCAGTTTCTGTACTTGCCTACACGTATCATCTACCAAATGTAGACATGTTCTCTTAAGAGTAAGGTGTTTTCCATAGTGACTAAGATAAAATATAAGCATGGACCTTTTAACAGACTAGTGATTATCTTTAAATTAGTAAGATCACATATTGTTCCAAATTCTTTTAAATCGGAATGTGGACAAACTAACATTTCTAGATTGAATTGATGTGACATTTTTTCATTATGTAAAATACGATTTTCTGAAAATTGTGAGTTATTTTTCTTTTTTAAAATTTAAAGAGACCTTTTCACTTCTCTTTCTCCAAGTTGTTAGTGTTCTGAGTATTTAATTATAGAAAGGGTAAGAATTTAGCCAGAACTTCCTCCAAATGTCTGGTGTCCTTTGAGGAGTCATTAAGGTGCCCTAGGAAAAGATATCATTAACTGTGTTTTAATCAATCCAGAACCATTACAGATTCTAGTAGGAGGACAAGTAAATCTATATGAATATAACAAACTAAAAATGTAGGATTATTCTCATATTTCTTAGAATAATGGTTTTCAAATGGGGAAGGAGAGTAGGAATGAGGGGGTATTTGAATTATATAGGCTCACCCCACACCTTTGAGACTCAGTCTTCTTGAGCTGCTGTTACTGGTGAAAGAGCTTACAGTGTCCCAGCTTTAGAGGGGGGAGGAGAGAATAAAGAACAAGAAGCATCGCCCAGTACAACACATGACATATTGTTATGAATAAACTCAAAGTTCAAGATTAGGTAGATCAGAGAGAAGTTGATCTTCGTAGATAAATGCGGGTGGTTGTGATTTTAAGAACTCTTCAATATGCATTTTCTAATCCTTAATACATAGGGTGGTTATGAGTGGGAACCAACTCGCGGCACCTAAGAACAACAATCTAAGAATTGGTAGAGCTACTTTGACCCCTGTGATACTCTGCTGGATAAATTAATTGAACTTAAAGGGAGAAAAAGTACATGCAGTAATGGTTATTGGTTTAACTAGTTTCCTTTATTCCAGTCCTGCCCCTCTCTGATTAATTCTACACTTTGCAACCAGAGTACTCCAGTGCTAGCCTGATTGTGTTATCATCTCTTTGCAGTTGATCAGTGCCTCCTCAGTGCTTTTAGGATGAAGTCCAAACCACTGAACTTTGATAAAAGAACCTTTATGACATGATCCCTGCTTATCTCTCTATTCTAATTTTTCACCTTTCCCCTTGCATTGTGGCACTGCACTATCCAAAGGCAGCTCTGTGCTTTTATGTTATTCTAGACTTTTTTTTTACACTCTCTCTGCCTGGGACACTTGTGCCCAGACTTTTCTCTTTGTTAATCCTTAACTCATCTTGTAAGTGTCAACTTAGGTGTTACTACTTGCAGAAACCTTCTCTGACCCTTCATGACCACGCTAGGTGCCCTTGTTATGTGCTTCTGTGGCACCATGTAACCCTGGACTGAAATAATGTACTGCCATTAATTTCATATGTATCTAAGCTCCTTAAGGACAGGACTATATCCTGTCATTGTTGTGCTTATTGTGCTCAGAGCAATGTTTTCCACATACTAGGTGCTCAAGTTATCTGTTGTGTTGAATTGAACCTCAAGTGATAAGTTGTTTCTAGTACCCTTGAATGTTTGTTTTTGGTGAGAACATTTTGAATAGGCTTTCTTAGTAACTTGTGACATTACAGTTACATGTGTCACTTATTTTGAAGCAAAACCAATTTTTTTCCTCATTTATTCTTAAAGGTCCAGAGAAAATTCTTTATGGGAAATCAAGTTCTAAAGGTCTTTGCAGCAAAAGATGATGAGGTGAGTTGACAATGAATGGATCTTTGAGGTGGTGCCACAGAATTGAATTGTCATTTTATGGAAGCGAATTGTTTGGAGGTTTTATGACTTAAGATGACGTTAATTCTTGGAATAATAGTGAGAAGATTCACTGACCTTTAAGTTTGAAAATGGAGAAATGATAAAATGATTTTGTTATAGCGTGAGCACAAGGCCTGGAGAACATAGTCTGGTAATTGGAGACCAGGTGAGTATTAAAAACAAGAAATGTGAACAACTGCATTTAAATGTGGGAATTTCATGGTCAAATGTTAAGGAGAATTTAAGGTCAAGTTGACATTTTCACTTTTGTAAACATTGAGCAGGCAGTGCTGGCTTAATGCATCCTGGAGATGAGCTTCAGTGACTCCAGGACTTACATTGTGGAGTTTGTCTTTTCCCTCTTCCCTCTCTCTTTACACTCTTTTCTCACCTCCCCAAGATGCTGTTTTCTCAGGCTGGTTTCTCACTGTTTAACACCCCGTAAGTATTGCATCCTACACTCACATCTGCCCTCTCTGCAACTATTTCTGTTCACCCTCCAAGACAGAATTTGTAATTTCCTTGGAGATACCGATCTTAACTGGACAATTGCAATCTAGTGTCTGTTTGAAATACTTGAGCAGGTTTCTAAGTTCCTGAAGCATTTGCATTTGAAACTAGTAGACAACGTAGAAGATTTGTTTGGGGTGGGGCTCGGGCAGTGGTGTAACTTGTCTAATTTTCTTAGTCCTCTTTTTCTCCTCACTTCTGAAGGGTGGCTGACTGCCGATCTAATAGATGGGTATGACATTATTCTATCAGAACAGTTCAATTAGGAAAGGAAAATGCTCGGCTTCTCTTCTGTACTGTATGGATTCACTAGAGCAGAGTAGGCATATGTGTATCCTCAAATTTGAGATTCCAGTTCTGGGACTTCTGCTGAATCAAATGCTGTTGGTAATCATGCAGGTCTGGTATATATTGTCAAACCACAAGTTAACTGCATTTTTAACTTCTACTGAAGTTTTAACTCCTGTTTATCGACTGTCTACACAAAGAATTCTGATCACTTCATGAAACTTGCTGGATAGTAGTAGTAAGAATACGGTACCACAAAGCTGTGCTGAGGCACATGTGCTGGATAATTTTCTAGGCTGGCTACCAAAGGTTAGCCTTGTGTCTTCAAAAATTCAAATCCAGCCTCTTACAAATAACATGTATATGTTATGGCCTTTGAGATCACTCAAGAAATAACAAAAACTACTAATATGTTATCTACTAGTAGCAAAGAGATACTTTTTGCAGGAAGCATGAAAAGAAGATGGAAGCAGTACACAGAGTTACTGTACCAAAAAGACTTGGTTGACTTTCAGCCATTTTAGGAGGTAGCATATGATCAAGAACCAACGGTGCTGAAGAAAAAGTCCAAGTTGCACTGAAGGCATTGGCAAAAAACCAGGCTCCAGGAATTTGACAGAATACCAATTGAGATGTTTCAACAAACAGATGCTGTGCTGGAGATGCTCACTTGTCTATGCCAAGAAATTTGGAAGACAGCTACCTGGTCAACAGACTGGAATGGATCCATATTTGTGCCCATTCCAAAGAAAGGTGATCCAACAGAATGTGAAAATTATCGAAGAGTATCATTAATATCACACATAAGTAAAATTTTGCTTAAGATCATTCAAAAGCGGTTACAGCAGTATATCCACAGGGAACCGCCAGAAATTCAAGCCAGATTCAGAAGAGGACATGGAATGATGTAAGATGGACCTTGGCTGAAAGCAGACAATACCAGAAAGATGTTTACCTGTGTTTTACTGACTATGCAAAGGCACTCCATTTTTGTGAATCATAACAAATTATGGATAACATTGGGAAGAATGGGAATTCCAGAACACTTAATGGTGCACGTGAGGAACCTGTACATAGACCAAGAGGCAATTGTTCGAACAGAACAAAGGGATACCGTGTGGTTTAAAGTTAAGAAAGATGTGCATCAGGGTTATATCCTTTCACCATACTTATTCAGTCTGTATGCTGAGCAAATAATCCGAGAAGCTGAACTATATGAAGAAGAACGTGGCATCAGGATTGGAAGAAGACTCAGTAACAACCTGCGTTATGCAGATGACACAACCTTGCTTGCTGAAAGCGAAGAGGACTTGAAGCACTTACTGATGAAGATAAAGACTACAGCCTTCAACATAAAGCTAGAATCCTCACAACTGGACCAATAAGCAACATCATGATAAATGGAGAAAAGATTGAAGTTGTCACGTATTTCATTTTACTTAAGTCCACAATCAACACCCATGGAAGCAGCAGTCAGGAATTCACATGACGCATTGCATTGGGCAAATCTGCTGCAAAAGACCTCTTCAAAGTGTTAAAAAGCAAAGATGTCACTTTAAGGACTAAAGTGTGCCTGACCCAAGCCATGGTGTTTTCAGTGGCCTCATATGCAAGCAAAAGCTGAACAATGAATAAGGAAGACCGAAGAAGAATTGATACCTTTAAATTATGGTGTTGGTGAAGAATATTGAATATATTATGGACTGCCAGAAGAACGAACAAATCTGTCTTGGAAGAAGTACAGTCTGAATGCTCCTTAGAAGCAAGGAAGGCAAGACTATGTCTCATGTACTTTGGACATATTATCAGGAGGACTGGTGCCTGGAGAAGGACGTCATGCTTGGTGAAGTACGGGGTCAGCAAAAAAGAGGAAGACCCTAAATGAGATGGATTGACACAGTGGCTGCAACAGTAGGCTCAAGCATAACAATGATTGCAGGGATGGCACTGGGCTGGGCAGTGTTTTGTTCTGTTGTACATAGGGTTGCTATGAGTCAGAACCAGTTCGATGGCACCTAACAGCAACAACAGCAACTCTTTGATGGTCACTTCTTGAGCCATGGTCAAAGAATTTTATTATCTAACTGGAGCTTATTTAGTATAAGATAAACAGGGGAGTAAGGAAACTATGGCATATGAGGACTTCCAGGGGGGATTCAAGGAGAAGATTGAATGGAAATGACTTGTATAAATAAGTTAGGGAGTAGGAAGGATAGCAGATATAATAGTGTTCTTCATACATTTAGAGGATCATCATGTGGAATAGAAATTAAACTATGCTTCATACCAGAGGAGTGAATTGGAACCAACACATGGTTTTCATTCAGGATGAAGAATTACTTTGTCCACAAGGATTGCTGTCTCCAAATGGATGGTTTCCTTGTGAGATGGTGTCTTGGTTTCCTAGGGCTGCCATAACAAAATAGCACAAAGTGAAAACACCCAGATAGAAACTTCAAACAAATTGGAAGTAATCTCTTCCTCAGACTACCAGACTACCGTTGTGCTTGTCCAATCCTCTCTTACAGAACTTATTATTAGAGTGTATGTGTTCTGTATTTGGGGCATATCTTATTTCATCTAGTAAAGGATGTAAAAGCTCAGTGAGGTTAGGGACTCATCTTTGTTTTTCTCACAGAGCCTAAGACATTGTATTGCAAGCAGTAAGTAAATGTTCCTTGAACTGAACTGAAAAGGTAATGAATCTATATGAAATGTGTAGAGGATTTTGATGGCAGGTATTGAGGTCATAGGTTTTTAGTGGAGGAGATGGGACTGTACATAGCTAAGTGTGATACAGGGCAGAAAAGTCCAATGTTTGGGGAGTGCTGGGGAGAGAGAGGCCTGATTAAGGCCATTCTGAAATGGAGAGGGTGTCAATTTATTGAGCCTTAAAAATGGGTTAGAAGCTAGAGAGCCAGAGATTTGGAGAGGGTATTCTAGGAGGAAGTTTTGTGAACAAAAGCCACAGGGATGGAAAAGTACAAGGCCTGCCAAGGATAAATGATCTACTCAGTGAGGCTGAATAGAGGAACTGTTGGAGGTTTTTATGGAGATGGGGGACGTGATTAGCTCTGTGAACGGAGGGGGCAGTGATGGAGGAGAACAGATGGATTGAGAGACAATGATGAGGTAGAATTGAAAGAATTTGGCAAACACTTAGAGGTGAGGAATGAGAAAGTAGGTGTTATCAAAGACTTTGGGACTTCTAGCTTGGTTGACTGAATGGTGGTATCAGTGCAAGTAGAGAATTCAGGAGGAGAAGGAAAAATAATGAAATTAGTTTTGTTCATGCACAGTTTGCAAAACCTGAGATATAAGCAGGTGAGATATCTCCCAACCAGCTAGTAGGCAGCTTAAATCTGGGTTTTATGAGAGCTGGATATACAGGTTTTTTAATCGTCAGTACACGGTACTGGATGAAATAATCCCCAAGTAGAGTTTTAGAGTGAGAGAAGGAGAGAAGGGCTAAGAGCAGAATCTAAATATCCGTTGGGAGAAAAGAAGAGCTTGTGGAGGAGTGGCCCATGAAGTAGGATAGTCAGGGGAGAGTGCTGTTTCTGAAGCCAAAGAAGGAGAAAGTGTAGAGAAGATGTGTGGGTGGGCAGATGCTACTAAAAGGTCAGATAGACAGGGAATCAAGGATTTGGCAATTAGGAAGTCAGTGACTTTTCAGAGGATAATTTTAGTAAGGAAGTGAGGGCAGTAGCTGGATTGGATGAATAATTGTGTCTAAGCAATGAAATCAGCAAGATTATTATTTCACAAAATTTAGAGATAAAGGGAAGGAAAACTACAGGTAGTAATTTATGGAGAAGATGAGCAAAGAAAGATTTTGTTTAGGAATGGCTGAGATTTGAGTTTATTTAGAGGATGATGGTATGAATTCAGAGGAGATGGAAGATTGAAAAGAGAGAGGGTTTAGTTAATGGAGCAAAGTCCCAGAAGAGTAAATGTGATTAAAAGCAAATATGTACGGTTTGGCCTTGAAGTGGATACAGGAACACTTTTTTAAATCTGAAACAGGAAGAAAGTGGATAACAATCTTATAAGCATTTAGTTCTATTGTGAAAATTGTCAGATGTTGGATATGTGTTAACATGTGCATCTTTCTTACTAGGCAGCAGCAGTGGCACTTTCCTCCCTAATTCATGCTTTGGATGAATTAAATATGGTGGCCATAGTTCGATATGCTTATGACAAAAGAGCTAATCTTCAAGTTGGTGTGGCTTTTCCACATATCAAGGATGCCTATGAGGTAAAACCCACAGGTCTTTTCTATTCATGTTATTATTACTCTTTTTTCTTTCAGTTTCTTTATTCTAAGCAGTGCTTCTCAAATGTTAATGTGCATGGGATTTATTTGGGGACCTTGTTAGGATGCACATTCTGATTTGGTAGGTCTGAGATGGGACCTGAGATTCTGCATTTTTCACAGACTCCCAAGTGATGCTCATGCTGCTAGTCTGTGGACCACACGTTGAGTAGCAAGGAAATAATACAAATTTGAAAAGTATATAAGGAGCTTTTTTTTTAAATCGGTAAAGATTAACCACGACCTTCTGTTTGCCAAATCCAATGATGACCTTCTCAGAACCAAATAAGAATAGAACTTACCTCCATTTTTATAAATGGGAACTATGAATAAAGATTGATGATTTGAATTCATTGTGATCATTCTGAAATTCAAGTTTATTTAGTGCTCTCTTTAAAAAAAAAAAGTCTGGATTCCTTGTTAGGTGCCACTGAGTCAGTTCTGCTTCATAGAGACCCTGTGTACATCAGAACTAAGCGCTGCCTGGTTTCCTTACCATGTCTAGATTCCTTACCGTTTCCTATTTATCAGAGAACTTATTGTGTCAGATCTGGAAAGAGGAGGCAAATATCTTGACTTCTAGATCATCCTTTTAGTCACCCTGACTTTTCTTATCTGTTGTATTGGTCATGCATTTTGCAATTATTCTTTGGTATTCTTTCTTTTTAGCATTTCTTTTATGTTTAATGTTCTTCACAGTGTTTGCAATTATGTATTGCTAATAACAAATCAAAACACTTTACTTTCTACGTACCAGATTTTAGCTGTCTATGAAATATTTTTGTCGTGCCATTTTCACAGCATTAGGACCAGCTTTATATTTTTCCATTAATTTGGTTATTTCTGCTTTAATCCCCTTTCTTTCTCATTAGTGTTTAGTGTACATACAGCTGCCTTTCATGGAAGACTTGCGGCAATACATGTTTTCATCCTTGAAAAATAATAAGAAATACACTCCCACAGGTGAGTTTTGATCCATTTAGTTCACTAATTGGCTCTAAACCCAGACTATTCTTGGGAAATCACCTGTCTGCAGTCATTGGTGAGGGCTAAGATTTCACCGGGTGGAATTAGTTGGATTCAGATCATACACAGTAACAATGAAGGTGATTCACCATGTGTTTTTCTGGTAGTAGGAATAGGTTTGCTTTCAACTCTGGAAATATTGTCTAGTTTTCGCCTCTGACTTAGAGCTTAGGGGGCAGCTTGCTGGAAACAGATGCACATTCTCTAGTTGTGAGTAGGTTTACCCTCTGGAGAAGTGAATTGACTTACAGGATCAAACCTGTGACTATAGGGTCCTGCATAAAATATAATGTAACTTTGAACTAAAAAGTAACAATGATATAAATTAACTTTTCTCTTTGCCCTCTCTGTGTGGTTTGTAGTAACAGTCCAAGTATCATTGTTCCTTATTTCTGGCTTCCAGGAGTTACTTTGAGCTTGATGAGAAAGGCGTTCCTTGAGCATCTGGCTTCAGGTGTCAGAGTGCTATACAGAATGATTTTCATAGACATAGGTCCTATCTTCCAGAGCTAACAGTATGAAACAGTTGTGATAAAATATAATAATGAGCAGAAGTAGAGAACATACCAAAGAGAACAAAAAAATGAGTAGATATGTTAGTTTACAAGTTTAAGTGTGTTATTTGTGGCAGTGTAGGATTAGGGAGTTGTGAGATGAGTCTCAGAACTGGGTTCTTTCTGTGTATTATTTTGGTTAGACCCTTTGGGAGCAACGTGCTATAGAAAGGCCAAGAATCCTAGAGACGAGCCCCTCTGCAACACGTCGAGGCAGGCATGGACCTAAATGTGTATGAGAAAGTTGCCACTGTGCTACAGTATTCTGTCTCTACCTCTTGATAACCCCAAACCTTAATAGCCTAGAACTTTTAAAAAAGAGAACTTTGTTGAGAAGTCATCTTAATGGACATAAATCACTCATTGTCTAAAACATTTAAGACCTTTTGATTGATTTTCTGTGAGTTAAACGTGTTGTTTGTATTATCTCTATTGGAAAAATGGATCATTAAAGTTGTTTGTTGTCTATCCAGAGTAGGCATGTATCCTTGTTGGTGTTGTTAGGTGCCATCAAGTCAGTTTCGACTCATAGCAACCCATCTGATAGAGTAGAACTACCCCATAGGGTTTTCTAAGCATGTAGGGGTATGTAATACCAGAGCAATCGGACCTGATACTAGCTTGTAGTAACAGGTGAAAATCACTAAATGTTCATATATAAAGAGTACCACTGCCTGTCTATGGTCAGGTGAACCCTGCAATAATCAGCTTATAAAGCTGACGGCGGTGCCATTGCCTGAAACCTCCCCTGGTCCAAAAACAGGGATAGAAAAGAAATTCTCTTGATAAATATCTGTATGCTCTTTCATTTTGCCGTAGCTGTACAAAAGGGATATTTGAAAGGGTAAAGAATAGAAGCATAATATACTTTCCAGGAACTGCATACTCTTTTCTACCTTAGTGACTGTGAATGATCCAAAAACAGCACTTTGGTTCAATAGCTGAATTGCTTTATGAATCAGCAGAATGAAAGCTACACATGGCACTTTTGGTAGAAGCATTTTTGGAAGAGTTACTTTTGGACTGTGCCACTTTCATTGACTTGGTAGATTTTCATTGAGCAGCACTTGCTTTCTGTTAGGTGTTGGAGAGGTATAAGGAAGATGCAGTCATGTTTCTGCCTTAGAGTTTGAATGGAGTGGACTAAGACACATACACAGATGCCATCGTATATGCGGAGTGGTTAGTGCCATGAGGCTTTGTGAGAGGAAAGAGGTGATTTTGACCTGGGGAGAATGTGAAGGAATCAGTTCACTCTGGTCCAGTGGGTCTTCCTGTTAAGGTGGTATACTCTGATACAAGTATTTTAAATCCTTATAAAGCTTATGCTTCATTATGAAGTTTTTAAAAATGTTTTTCTCTTTTTGCTAATTGCCAGTTTTTTAAATATTAGCTATTTGAGTACTTTACTGAATGTTTTGAACTTCTGTGTGGAAGTTGGGTTTTGTATGGCTATAGTACATTTCTCTGGAACACTCATGCTTTTGCTATGATACTCCATTGTCAAAAGTTCACTGAACGATGGAGCTGGAAAGACCTAAGAGCTCAGCTACTCTTAAATAGCTCTTTTCACAGATAAGAAAACTGAGACTCAGAGGTTAAATGACTTGTATAACTAGAGAATTTTTTTTGGCAGAGCCAGGACTGTATAACCTGCCGATATTGCTGTGAATGTCTATGAATGGAAAATATTTGTTTTAGTGGAGGATAATAGAGACAATCATTTTTTTCTTTCTGCTTCTGTTCATTCTTGTTTTAAGAGGTCCAGCTGAATGCCGTTGATGCTTTGATTGATTCCATGAGTTTGGTAAAGAAAGATGAGGAGGAGGACACCATTGAAGACTTGTTTCCAACCACCAAAATCCCAAATCCTGAATTCCAGAGATTTTTTCAGGTGAGAGATGAAAGATGAGCCAGTCATAAGTCTTTTAAATGATAGAGAACTGAGTGAAAGGTTAGGGTAACTGGCCAGCCCCAAACCATACCTTTATTCTCTGAGAACCTTAGTTATTCTGTTTAATGGGAGAGTAACACCTTCCTCTCCCTACTTTAGAAAGATAAAAATACTCTAAGCTCTGATAAAAAAGGAAGTAAGGTTGGGATGCTTTTTTCACCCTGAAAGAAGAGTAGTTTTTCTTTAAAAATACAGGAGGGCTTAACAAAAAGCTGATTTTATGCTTTTTCTAGGCTTTTCTCCTCTATTTTATGTGAATTGGACTTCTTTTTTTTTTTTTTTTTTTTTAAGGTATCAAAATAGTAGGAGAGTTTTTCCAAAATGTATGGTAAGATTACCACTATTAGGAAATAATATGTTCCCGTGCTACATTTGTGAAAAATTTCATAATCAGAGGTAGTATAGAGATCAGATAAAAAACGTTATAAATACAAAACTATTAAAGAGTAACTAAAAATACAAAATATATATATATTTCTGAATCCTAGAACAAAGGTGGAGATTGGGTTAAGGGAAACTGGGGAAATTGGCAAGACAGCTGATTTATGCTGAGGGAGGGAATGGGTAGACTAAGGTTTATAGGGGAAGGAATTTTCTAGTCCTGCGTTAATTTAGTGCGAATAGGACATAGTCTTCTCTGACCCCTGCATAGCTGAAAAAATCACAAGCAGCTTTTTTGGACAAACTGTTCCCCTCAGAAGGGTGGAGAACCCATTTGATGAAGAGACCATTAGTTGTCCCTTTTGATACTCACTTAAAGCACCGTTAACTAATTCAAGTCCATATTAGGGCGTGTTGTAATTTGGGGGATCCTCTACTCAAAAGAAACTGCCTAATTGGTTAATGTTCGGAGTTCCTTTAAGTAGTGAAAAAAAGACCGTTTGTTCTAAAATTAGAAAGATGAAGCTTAACATGTAAAGGCCTGACTCAGTTGTTACTTTAGTTTTCTCAGTGCAGTCAGATATAAATTACTGGTATAAAATCCTTTGATTTTTGACAAGTGGACTTAAAGACCTAAAGGCCTGTAGGGAAGGGAGAAGTAGACCGCTTGCTGTGGAAAGCTTGTAAAAACAGGTGGTTACAATGAAAAAGAGAAACTTTGAATATTTGGCAGATTTATCTAGGGTGGTTCTGTTTATAATCTTCAATAAAGGTATGTTGGAATAATGAACAGATACAAGCCAGTAGGCCACCAGGGTTTCCATAATTAACACAGTGTTGCTGAAATCAGTACGCTAGTAACTTCTGAACTAGCCAATGAGAAACCTCATTAATACTTAAAGGACCAATCAAAATAGTTCTTATCACTGGTAGTGCATTTGTTGTATTCCTTTCACTTTTGTGATACCATATTAGATAGAATCTATTTTTTTTAATTATGTTTGTGTCATATCTAAATAATAATGACCTGTAAACTTTTATGCAGCCTGCATTTTTCTCACTAGTCTTTTTCAAATTGTAAAAATCACATAAAGGAGTAACAATTGGTTAAAAGAGAAATAAGTAGATCAGGAAGACTGTGATTTCAGCTTCCCAGCTACTGAAAAAAGTCACTTTTTCATAACTTCATTTTTTTTAATGAGTTGAGATTTACTGCTTGAATGAATCTAATAAGTATCCCACTTAACTTTATTTGCCTAAAATATGACCTTTGAGAAAATGTAAGAGAGAGGTGGATGCTTCAGCACATCTGTTGAAGGTACTTTATTATTTATCTATGGATGACGACACTGGTTGGAAGGATTGCCTGGAGTTTAACTGGAAATCTGGAGTGCATTTCAGTAGGGAGGTTGAGTACGATAGTTATCCAGTGGTAGTTTTAGCTTTTTTTTCCAAAAAATGTTAATTGTATATCACAAATAGAACCTTCCAGAGTATGTGAGAGCTAGTCTGCTCTGTTGGGTGTTCATTTACAGTTCACATCTTTAGGCTTTCTGAGCTGTTTCTGATACTTTAATGATCTGAAGAAGAGCACCGGGAATTAAGGAACATGCACAAGAATGGTAGGGGTAGGTTCACAGGACTTGGGATCATTTTGGTTTCCTCTTTTGCTTTACGTTAAACAGACCCGATGTTATTGATGCTCAAGGAAAAGTTGAGTAATTAGGAGAGAGGAAAACAGAAGTCAGACTCTGAAATGAATGAATATACTATGGGGAAAGAAGAGTTGTGAGAGGTGTATTGAAATGAGGGAGCAGCACATGGAGTGTCTAGAGGAAATTGGTACTTAATTCCCACCTCAGGTTTTCTGAATTTATAGGACATTAACTCTTGGATGATATTTTTACTATTTAGACCAAAGTGTCTTTTATTTTTCAGAATGGAGGCTTCTAGCTTATACATCTTCAGTGTAGGAAAACTATCCATGGGAGAATATAAATCATATACTTTATGATATGAAGCAGTATTTTGAAATTACAGGAGCTGTTCAGCTCCTTGGCTTTTTTCTTCAAAATTATTAATGTTTAAGGATGGGAATATTAGGAAACTTATTCTCCAACCTAATTTTAGAATTTTCTCTAGCAAGGGAAGAAAAATGGCAATGATAGCTAGTTTTAGGTTGGTTTTTTTCTTTAATGGCGTCTCATCCTATTGCTTATCTTCCTGTACTCCTTTTAGAGTATTTACTTTTCTGGGAAGATACCAGTACTGCAGGCCTGGCTTAGTATACTGAAAGCGGTACAAGTGATTGAGTGGAAGGGGCTTCCTGTCCAGAATTCAGTCACATGAGCAGTGGAGAACCCTCTCTGGCCTGGATGTTAGCCCCACTTTTGGCTTTGCTTCCTGACAGCTCAGTCAGCTAGAGTCCTTGGAAAGAGTTCTTTATTCCTTCAATCAGTGACTCTTTGGTGCTTATGTGCCAGGCACTATTTTCAGTGCTTGAAATTCAGAAGTAAACGAGGCAAACAAGATCTCTACTTTCAAGGAGGAGGGTTAGATAATAAACAAACCAAAAAATTGGTAACATAATTTTAGATAGTGATAAATACTGTGAAGAATGTAAAACAGGAAATGATAGTGATTGGGTGCTAGAATGCAGCTAGAGGGACTACTTCAGATAGAATGCCAGGGAAAGCCTCTCTAAGGAAATAATACTTGAGCAAATACCAGAATGGTAAGAAGGAGCCAACTCTGTTGAAATCTAGGGGAAGTCAGAAGAGGCAGAGGGAGCATCAAGCGCAGGACCCAAAGGCAGGAAAGAGCTTGGCCCATTAGTGAAACGAAGAGCTGAGTCTAGCTGGGTTGTGGTGAGCATGGAGGAGAGTGATGATGAGATAAGGAAGGTAACAGAGCTAAATTACATAGGGTAGCACAGGATATGGTACAGGGTTCTTTTTAAGATCACTTTAGCTGCAGTAGAACAGTGAGATCAGAAGCAGGAAGACCCGTTTCAGAAGGTGGTTGTGGTAGACCAGGTGAGAGGTGATGGTGCTTGGACAAGAGTAGTAGCAGTGGAGATGGAAACAAGTGGATAGGCTTGTGGAGAAAAGCTCAGGCTCAGCACTTGGAAATTTGGGACAGACTTGGTCTTCTCATCTCTTTTGTGGATTTCTTCCTGGCATTCACTGAGCATGGGCAAGAAGTCTTTAGCCGCCTCATCCACCGCAAGTTGTTTCCTAAGAGTAAGCAAGGGAGAAAGCACAGATGCTTAAGGGAGGTAAAAGGATTATAGCTAAGAAGTTATAGTCCCAGACTGTGAGAGACTCTTTGAATGATGTGCTTTAGGGAACCTTGTAGGCTATAGTATGTTCCCCAAGTAGTTAAAGCAATGGGCTTCTTTTTATAAGATGAAGCTCCTTTCCAGGAGAACTGCAGCAGATATTGCTGCTAGGCTGAGGTCTGTTTTTACAATGAGTTTTAGACATTTGCAGTGTCCTGCTAACAAAGGTGGTTCTGGGTCAGCCCTTCTTGTTGTTATCTCTTACATATGGTATGAATTGCAAAGCCCTCTTAAACTAAAGATGGAGGATCCCTGGTCAGAAGAAGTATAATGAAGCCATATGTGATGTCTGCATCTGTGTTTTAAAATCCTTATACCTTTTCCAACAGTGTCTGCTGCACAGAGCTTTATATCCCCAGGAGCCTCTGCCTCCAATTCAGCAGCATATTTTGAATATGCTGGATCCCCCTACTGAGGTGACAGCTAAAAGTCAGATTGCTCTCTCTGAAATAAAGACTCTCTTCCCTCTGACCGAAGCAATCAAGAAAAAGGATCAAATAACTGCTCAGGACATTTTTCAAGACAAGTAAGTACTCTGTGTAGTTGCATTTGGAGTTGGAGTTTGTAAGATTGGTGGTAGTCTTAGAGGACTGTGGAGCATATGGGTTTGTGGAATTCCAAAGTGGGAGGAAATACCTTTTGATATCTTGATCCTTGCATTGAAAATATTGGCTTCTGATAGCTGTGAGAGGAGGATCCCTGTCATCATTTTTTATGCTTGCCGTTCACCTGGAATTGAGAGCTGCCTCCTGAGTTGCTGACTTTTTGATCAGCATCAAATTCCTGGTGAGATAAGGAGAGTAAGCAACGTTTTTGAAAATCTAAGGCTAAATTTTACCATTTTAAAGTAGGGAGTTAGGCATGAGGGGAGAAGACTAAGGGTACTGAATTACCTTTCTTTGGGTGTTAGGTGTCTGGAGAATGTCGGTGAGATTTTGGAGGAAAAGGGGAAAGAGGAGTGAAAAATATGACCGTTCTTTAGCTATTCTGTTAGTATGTCAGTGATGGGGTTATATCATTAGCACAGGGATGATTAACCAGTAAGAGCAGTATGCATCGGTTTACCGTAAGCAAGGTACACACGGGCTTAATTGTGCTTACTTACTAATCTGTAGTGCATTGTGCTTAAGCCTGTGTATACCTTGCTTATTGGGTAATCTATCCCTGCATTAGTGAAGTGTTTGTAGCTTAAGGATTGCAAAATGCCTGTTATATAATCCTTAAATGAAATTTATCTTTCAAGTGGCTATTAAATTTTTTGCCCCCTCATCAGATTCTGTTTAGAATCTGTGTTGATTTCCATTAAAAACAAAACCAAAACAAAAAACCAGTCCTTGTTCCTGATATCCAGAATCAGTTGGATGTATAACGTTGGTTTTACCAGGTTTAGGTTAACTGGTTACTGGTGACCTTTTTTTCCCCCCCAAATCAAAATGATCTATTCATTTCTTTAGGTTATATTTTGAAATCCATTTTTAAACCATAATTTCATTTATTTTTTTCTTCGATTTCCTTGCCACAGCTGTATTTTTATTGACAAAGTAAAGCTTATTATTTGTAAATACCCCAGTGTAGGAGTATTGAGCAGTTTCCAGAAACCTTCACAGGTTTCTATAAATCATTAATTTAGTCATATATCTTCCAAGTTGAATAGAAAGCTTTGCATTTTTGGTAGCTTTCTAGAGGTTAATACCCTAAGCTTTATCAGGATTGAAGAATATTTGTGAGATTGACAGATGCTGTACTGTGCATTCCTAAACACTTCCTGGAGAGGTTTACATTTCTTTTTAGTCTACTGTACTTATTACATAGGAAGACTGCCACTAAAAATCCACTTTCCCACTGCTATTCTCATCTGCCTGTATGCCTCTGAACTGGCAGTCTAGAACGATTCAGTGTAATTCTGAGTCCTTCTCTTCCCACTACAACCTTACTTTAGTCTCACCACAGTCACGTGGCTATTCTCTCTCTGTATATTAAAACTACAGTTCATGATCTTGATTACCTTCTGGTGTTTTGGGAAAGAAACAGGCCATTCTCCCCTCCTCCAGTTGATTAAAATGCAAATTAGCTGGTTAAAAAAACTACACCACATAGACCCAGAAGGCATTTGTTCTGTGATTTGATCCCTGCTGTGATTACACCTTCAACTCTGTTCCTACCACTCACTCTCAGAAAGCTAGAATGCACTGGGCTTCTTGTTTTTTGCTTCCACAATGGCTTGTGGTGTAGCCAAGTTATCTGCCTGGGGCCCAAAAATGATCTCACTCACACACACCTACTCACTACTATTTTCCACCCTTTCTTCTCAGAAATCTTAGTTTTTAAAAACTGCAGAAATGATGCATTTAATAAATGTTTATTGAGAACCTCCTCTCTTCAAGAATGACTCAGTTCCTTCTGCAAGATTCTTAAAACCTTCAATGTTTATGACAAAGCTCCAGTCAGCTTTAGAGGTAGGTTCCTTAAGGGGGAAAAATGGCTAACAATTAGCAGTGTTGTGTATATTCAGCATCCCTGTACTCAGGGTACATATGTCCAGTGTCATGGTGAGGAGTGAACAAATGTCTGTTCAGGAAGTGTCATCATCTAGGACAGGAGCCCTGAGCTGGGAATCACTGGGAACCATTCCAGCTTTGTTGCTCTTGATCTGATTTTGGTTAAATAATTTTTAGCTTTCTGTGATTTTTTTTCATCTAAACAACCTCATCTCAAGAGATATTATAAGGAACAATGAAATCACAGATATTAAAACATTTTGAGCTATTTGGAGGGAAGGCAATAGTCAAAAGTCAAAGCAATAATAGTAACATATCAATAAAATCTTTGAGCATTTGAGAAGGTCTCCTGTTTATGTTTGCCCTATTGATACCTAGTGTTAGAAGTGATTTCTTAATTTCAAGAAGGTAAGTGTACCATTTGACATTACAGTTACCTTTATCATATAAAAGCATTACTTCTCTTAATGTTGATGTGTTGTTGTTGTTAGGTGCCATCGAGTTGGTTCCGACTCATAACGACCCTATGTACAACAGAACGAAATGTTGCCCAGTCCTGCGCCATCCTCACAGTCCTTGCTACGTTTGAGCCCATTGTTGCAGCCACTGTGTCAGTCCATCTCGTTGAGGGTCTTCCTCTTTTTTGCTGATCCTCTACTTTACCGAGCATGATGTCCTTCTCAAGGGACTGGTCCCTCTTGATAACATGTCCAAAGTATGTGAGATGAAGTGTCACCATCCTTGCTTCCAAAGAGCATTCTGGCTGTACTTCTTCCAAGAGAGGTTAGTCTTCTGGCAGTCCATGGTATGTTCAGTGCTCTTCGCCAACACCATAATTCAAAGGCCGCAATTCTTCTTTGGTCCTCCTTATTCATTGTCCAGCTATTGCATGCATATGAGGTGATTGAAAATACCATGGCTTAGGTCAGGTGCACCTTAGTTCTCAAAGTGACATCTTTGCTTTGTTGTATAAGTGTTGATGCACACCCTTGAAATGAAAATGTCATCTTTTAGGGAACTTGCATGAGAATTACAATATCTTAAGTCTAATGCTACTTGTGCAATTGACTTATGAATGTGATCTTGGTTTCTTTTTGTCTCTGTGCAGATATTTCAAAGTTTTCTACTCTTTTCAAGTCCCCTAAGATCCCCTGTCAATCACTCTCAGCAGACAGCCTCACCTGACTAATGATTAAGACTCCAGGCTCCAGAGTCAGACAATGTGAGTCAGTCCCCTTGCTCTACAGTGTGACCTTAGGTACAGGTAGCTTATCCTCTCTAAGCCTCAGTTTCCTCATGGGCAAAGTAGGGATAATAGGACTACCTGTCTCACAGAGTTGTTAGGAGGAGTGAGTGAGTATTGTATACTGTTTATTGTTGTATCCCTAGAGCCTAGCACATAGTAACAGTACAGGGTGTGTGAGTAAAGGATTTTAAAAAATCCTAGTCATGTCCCTGGCACATTAGCAAGGATGATTTCATAGAGAAAATAGAAACCAATAGGTGGGAACTCCTTAATTTTGTAGCCCATTTTATCTAAAAATGTATCTGGATTTACATCTATTTTTATTTCCTTCTTTCCTGTCTTAGTGGAAGAGAGTGTGTCATCCTGTCCAGAGATAATTCCCTTACCCTTGCCCTGGGATCCCATCTTCTATCTCATATGGTAACTTAGTCCACTAATAATTTCTTCCTTCTTCTGTATTTTTAGCTTCTGCCTTTCTACCAGCTCCTTTCCTCTGCATATTAGCATTTTAGTTCTTTCATCTAAACCAAAATAAAATAATCCCCTCAGTTTCCTTCCTCTAATTAACCACCCTATCTCTGGGTAGTGCAAATGGTTCACTACCTCAGCTGCTAATTGAAAAGTTGGAAGTTTGAGTCCACCCAGAGGCACCTCAGAAGAAAGGCCTGGTGTTCTTCCAAAAAATCAGTCATTGAAAACCCTATGGAACACAGTTCTACTCTGACACACATGGAGTTGCCATGAGTCAGAATTGACTTGATGGCAACTGTGTTTTTTTGTTTGTTTGTTTTCTCCCATAAGCCAAGCTTATCGAAAGAATAGTCTACATTGCTTCTCTTTTCTCAGTTCCTATTCTCTCAGGCTTCTGCCCTTACCACTTCCCTGAAATTCATCTTCCAAAGGACACTAACTGCTAAATTCACTTCAGCTTTGCAGTCCTTTTCTTTCTTGACCTCTTTGTAGTACTCGACATTGCCAATTATTCTCTCCCTCTTAAAACTCATTTATCTTCCTTAACTCCATCTCCAGATTTTTTTTTTTTTTTTCCTAAATCTTTGACAACTCCCTCTCAGATTCCTCTGGGGGCTGCTTTTCTTTCTCCAACAACCTTAAATGTTGATGTTCTGTAGGATTTATTCTCAGAAATACCTAACGTCTGTTGAACGCAGCTATAATACTGAGTGCTCTGTCCGTTTGGATCCTCTTGGCCTTCCTGTGAAGTAGGTTCTTTTATTGGCCGTATCTTAAAGCTGAGGGAACGGAGGCTTACAGAGGACTAAGAAACTCGCTCAAGATCACAGTAGGTAGGTGTTGGAGTAAGAATTTGAGTGCAGGTAGTCTGACTCCAGAGCTTGCACTCTTAACCATTATGCCATATTGCCTTAGCAATGTGTATCTGCAGACCTTTTGTTATTTCACATACATGGCTTAAAAAACTGCTAAATATCTGTCTGCAGCCCAGATTTCAATCTTATCCACTGGCTATCTTAAGTGTCTCAAGTTCAGTATGTCCAGAAATGACTTCATTGTCTTCTTTCTCCTTCCATACCCATGCTCCTTTCAAACTCTGTCTTCTTCATGCTGTGATCTTTATTTCAGTGAATGGCATCCAGTTTCCTGGGAGTCACCCCTTTTCTTTACTGTCCATATCTAATTGGTTTACCAAGTTGTTTTAAATTGACCTCAAATCTACCTCTTTCACTTCAGGTTAGTCTAGTGGCTAATAGCGTTGATTCTGGAGTCAGATAGATTTGGATCTTAACCCAAGCATTGCCCCTTAGTAGCTGTTGAAATTGGCAAGCTGGTCTGTGTCAAGTAGAAATAACAAATAACTGCCTTTCGGGAAGCTGTGTAGGAGGATGTTTAAGAATACTAGATTAGTTCTGAATTCTTACAAATCATGTCCTTTAAACAAGGGGTTAGGCCCTTTCACCCCTTGATTCGCTCATCTGTAAAAGGCCAATGATAGTAACTAACTCAAAGGTGATTGTGAAATTTAACTGAGCTATTTTAAATGTGCTTATTATTAGCATAGTGACCAGCACATGCTAAGAATTAAAAAAAAAAAAATGTTACTAGCATCGCCCATTGCCATTGCTTTTATTCAGGCCTTCTCATTTTTAGCCTGCTTTACTGTGATAGGAGCCCTGGTGGCGAAGTGGTTGAGAGCTTGGCTGGTAACCAAAAGGCTAGCAGTTTAAATCCATTAGCTGCTCCTTGGAAACCCTATGGGGCAGTTCTGCTCTGTCCTATAGGGTGGCTATGAGTCAAAATCAACTTGACGGCAACAGGTTCGGTTTTTTTGGTTTTTTTCTAAGATAACCTCTTGACTGATTTCTCTTGATTCTAGTCTTATCCCTTTCTCATCCATTCTGCAATTCTGCTGCCCGAGTGATTTTTAAAAAACAAATTTAATCACATCACACCCTTGCTTAAAATTTTCTGATGCAATAATTCTTCATCTTTTTTATTTTTTTTAACGGACCCTTTTGATAATCTGATAAAAACTGTGAACCCCCTCCCCAGAAAAATGCCCTTGACATACCAAGTTTTGCATGTAACTTTAGATGGCTCACAGATTCCTTGAAGCTATCCTTGGACCCCTGACTGAAAACCTTTGCTTTAATGACTTTTCATTACCTTCACCATAAGATCAAACTCTGTCATACGAATAGGAAAACCCAGATAAGCAAAAAGAAGTATCTATCTATAATCCAACTACCTAGAGAAAACCATTTCTTTCCTCATATTGTTAATGCCTATAATTTATATATTTTCTAGCTTCATCTCTCACTATTTCCTGGCTTGCACCTGATGCTCCTGCCCAACAAAAGGGACATGCCACTGGTCACAATATTTTAATTGTTTTTATACTTATCTTTTTTATTAGGCCTAACTTCTTGGAGATGTTGAGTATGTATTAATTTTTGTATATCAAGAGTTCAGAGTCTAGCTTTGTGCCTAACACATAATATGTACTTGGTAAACGTTTGGCTAAATAAGTTAATTATAAAATTTACATACATTTTTGAAAGGAAATGAGAAAGGGAGAAAGAGCAATAAATTATTCATGGTCCCACTCCCCAAATACAGCAACTATTAACATTTATATGTCTACTATGATCTTGCATGGGTAATATCTGCCTTCTGGGACTCAGCTCCTCCATAGATCATTTGGAAATGATAGTCCCACTTCACATAGACATTAAGAGTTTAATATATTTAGAATTCCTAATAATGCCGTTAAGTGATCTCACCTTGAGGATATGAACCATATAAAAATTTTTACTACTTTCTGCTTATTTCTGGGGCTGCTTTTACCTGCCTGGTACTGGAGAATTGGTGTCTATGTCTACTTCCCTTTCTTCCCTAGATCTTATTTTGGAGTGCTTAAGAAATTCTTCATGTGACTCATCCTTGTATTCCCACAGAACTTAGCATAGTGCTTTGCATGTAGCAATGCTCCTTAACACCACTCTGTATGTGAATTTGTATTTTTGAAAAGAGAATAGTTGAGTAGTTGATATCCTAATGGTACTTTTCATTATAGCATTTTTCTGATGAGAAAACTGATGCTCAGAGACAGTAGTAACTTACCTAAGTTTCCAGGGCCAGTCTGATCTGTAGCAGTTCCCTGTTGTTGTCTGTCTCTTGGGGATAACTGGCAAAGGTTACCTGACATGGTCATGGCCATTTTTTATTTTTTTTAAATGCACTCAAATTCTAATGGAATTTTTTACTTCCTTGGGTAAGTGCATTTTTCCTCCATTTTTGCCACCAACGCTTTGTGTATTTTTTATTCTACTTGCAAGGAAGGAGCTCCAGATGACTCACCCCCTTTTAATGTTTCTTGATCCTCATCCTTCTGTCTTCTGCTTGCCTCTTCTCTGCTTTTCAGAAGGGTGGGGGGGAAGCCAGCGGTGAATGGGAAAGATGTCGAGTAATAAAACTTTATACTTCGTTTTTGTAAAGCTGTGATGATTAGTCCTTTCATCTAGCTGTAAGAGGTGATTCATTACTGAAATACCACTGAGGTAGCCAGTTTATGCCTTAGTTTTCTTTGCTTTGTTTTCAGGATTACCTTTTTCAAGCTTCATTGTCTGAAGGTTGGAGTTTAAGAAAAAAAAAATTAGAAATACTGTATCTTATAGTTACTAATTTCTCTTATCATTTTGCCATTTCTTGACAACTGTTTTTACCCTTGATAGATTATTATTTCTCTTGGAGAAACATCTTTATATCTTTATGTTCAGCAGCTTTAAGGGAGATTATGGGCAGAGTCTTTGGATTCGGTTTTCTTCTCTTTGGCAATTAATTTGACCTCCTCTTGACTTTAAGGCAGGTTATTAAAGCCACCATGTTATTTGAGGCATACTGTTTGATACACTTTCTTTGAGTTGTGCTTCCCCTATAAACAGATGTGATTGGACTCTTATTAGCATATTGCCTAAAACAGAATTAGATTTATAAAAGAAAAATTAGAAGTTTTCTTTTGAAAGTTTTTTTTAATAGTTTAAGATTTCTGTAAGAGCAAGCTCTTGCATATTTAATTAAGAATTGTCTGCTGAGTTTTGAGAGCTTTAAGTAGAAGCTTATAAAGCTGTTGCATACACGATAGAGAAGGTGCGTGATTAGACACGAAGGTCTTCTGTGTATATGGAAGGCTAATAGCTATCAATTCTGAGACAGGAACTAGCAAGTAATATGTGAAGGGTAAATGGATTTCTTACTTAAATGTTAAGTTTCCATTACCTGTGCTTGTAGGTTCATCTTTCGAAGCAGAGTTTGTGATGTGACTGCTAATTCTGATGTCTGTATCGCTGCAAAACAAAGCCCGGCTGCTTCGGGCAGGCAGCTGTCAGAAACTGAGGCTGGCAGTGGGAGGTGGGCTATTTGTAAAGAAGGACTAAGTGTGGATGTTTATCTTTGATGCTTGAAAAATAACTTTACACTTTTCACATCAGCAATTCTGATTTTTGTATTGCTTCTTTTAAGAGGGGGAATAAATGCATTTTTTTTTTTTCCCCAGCCATGAAGAGGGACCCGACTCTAAAAAACGCAAGACTGAGGAAGGGGACATCCACTTTAGTATCTCCAGCATGACTGAGGGCAGTGTCACCAGTGTAAGCGGAGCTCTTCCACTGTGCTTCCCCCTTTAGCAAGGTTGGGGCTTAGCGGGGAGAGCGTCAGTTTCTGCTAGTCCTTTAATGCATCACTTTCTCTGCTCCTCTATATGTAAACTGGAAAGGCTCTTTCTACCCATCTTCCTTTACATTAATTATTATCAGTGAATTATCTATAGAATTACCTATATAATACACAGTATATAGACTTCCATGTAATATATAGAGCATGGAACAGCTCAGTGGTAGCACTTTATGTAGTTTTTTTTTTTTTTTTGGGGGGGGGGGCGGGCTTCATTTTGCAGCTTTCCATTGCAGTTATTCCAAAATGATAGATTAACTAGGAGCTAATAATGTGGGTCTTAATCTCCAAGTATGTAAAATTTAAAACAGTATAACTCTCCCATTTCCTTTTTAGTATACAACTTCAGAACAGGAGTCATAGTTTAGGATTCGCCTAAACTACTGTTCTTTGATACTTGAGTTTTTTTTATTTAATGAGAAAGTTTTTGGAACTTAAGTGTATTACCTTATTTTAAGTGGCATTATTTTTAATCAACAGATCTTAAAAATTGTCCCTTATTGGCAAAGTACACTAAATAGGATAACCAGCACAAGGATGTCCTTTATTCCCACCTCAAACAGATATGTTCTTAGAAAAACTGAATGTCTGAAAAGTGATTTGGATTTTATATCAATGTTTACTCTTACGTAAAGGAAAAATTCATGACCTTATTTGCTCTGAGAGCTTTTTTTGCTTCTATACCAGAGCAAATTAGAAACCTTAGTACACTTTGTACTCAAGTTTACCAGCCAATATAGGAAGCTCGTTTTCTTCCCTGTGAGCTGAGCGGTGCTCAGGTCCTGTTAAGGAAGGGACTGGAAGATTAAAAACATAGGTATGATCAGAAAGTGCCATGTTGTGTGGCAGAGAGTTGCATCTTTGAAGCTTTCCCACCTAGCACTGCAGTACATTTTTCCACACTGTCTGCTTTTACTTTTGGGGGACATGTTCAGCTTGGGCGGTTTTGTTTACGGTACCAAAACTTCAATGCCAAAGGACCAGCAGTGGGCCCCCAAAGAGGTCAGTTCAGTGACTCAAGCATCAGGCTATTTCTCATGTTACCTTAACAGGTCAAATATGTTTTAAACTGACCTCACACTACACAGTCCTCCCCTTCCTAATTGGTTGGATGTCAGGATGCCCAGGCAGTCCCTGCCACATAAAGGCTTCAAGCTGGGCTGGCTGGTGGATTGGTTTGTAATACCTCTAACCCCTGTGGAAAGAAGTCAGCTTGCATAAAGAGAAGTGCGTGAAAGTACAGATGGCAGCTATTTGGCCACAGGAGTCTGCTAGCTTTTATATATAGTTTTATATATATATATATATATATAATATACATAAAATATATAATTTTGTTGTTGAAAATATACACAGCAAAGCATACACAGTTTCTACATGTGACATTGATCACATTCTTCGAGTTGTGTAACCATTCTCACCCTCCTTTTCTGAGTTGTTCCTCCCTCATTAACATAAACTCACTGCCCCCTAAGGTTTCTGTCTCATCTTTTGAGTTACTGTTGTCAATTTGATCCCATATAAATAGTTCTTAAAAGAGCGTAATGCTCAAGGCAGACATTTTTTACTAGTTAAGCTAAACTATTGTTTGGTTTTAAGAAGACTTCAGGGGATGTTTTTGGTTTAAGGTTTAAAGATTATTTCAGGGCAGTATACTGTTTTAGGGGTTCATCCAACCTCCATGGCTCCAGCAAGTCTGGATTCCATGAGAATTTGAAATTCTGTATTTTCTCATCTAGCTTTTTAACAGAGCCCTGGAAATGAAAATGACTAGAAAGGGCCTTGTCTTTGTCTTTGGTTTTATTTTGTAAGAGCACACTTACTACGTTAAGCTTCTTGTATTGCCTGGAGGCACTGCCAAAAGAGAAGTGATCTGCAGGTTTGTTGTCTGTGGGTGTGTTCTAGGTTGGAAGTGTGAATCCTGCTGAAAACTTCCGAGTTCTAGTGAGACAGAAGAATGCCAGCTTTGAGGAAGGTGAGTGACACACCGTTTGCTTTGCATCTAAGAAGGTATTTCATTGGTTTAACTGATTTAAAATCTAATTAATAACAGCAGCCTTTTGTTATAATGCTTTATAGACCTTTGTGATTGTCCCTTATTAGTGAACTTCCCAAGGCACCCTTGTGAGGTAAGCTCAGCACAGGTCTGCCCAAAAAAAGAACTGATTTGTGGGTTTCCCTGTTATAAAAACTACAAGCCAGAACCTTACTATTCTCAGTTCCACTTCACTGAATTTCTTTAGGGTCTTGTGAGTGAGCATGGAATAAATATTTTTGGGTCATATCTTCCTAGTTTCAGAGATACATACATCTTATTTCAATTCTGAGGATATTGGTCCCATTTATAGCAGTCCCAGAAAGAACTTGGCACTGTCCAGAGATACCCTTCCAACATTGACTACATCCTCACATTTTTCTCATCAGATATAACCTAGCGTTCCATTTAGTCTTGGGATAATACCAAAACAACTTTCAGGAATGGACAGAGGGTCTGGGACCAGCAGTCGTTCACTCAATGGCATTCAGCTTCCTGTTCATTTACCCTTTAATGAGTGGTGCCTGGCAGTTGTTAATCCTGCAGGTTGTATATACAACAGTTTTGTGTTCATTATTGCTGCCTATAGTCAGGCCTGTCAGTGACCTGCCTTCTATGCAAGTGTTCATGTGCATATGTGCACAAAACTTTCTCTTCCAACCTCTTGGCATTTTAGGGGAATAAAATGACTCCTAAATGCCTAGAAACACTACAGCTTTTTAGTTTAATCATTTGTAGTGTCTAGCATAGGTCTAGGACACTTTACTACTTAGAGCCTGAGAATCCTGGCAAGATGCCTAGACCTGCTGTGCTGTTGCCCAAAGGCAGTCATAACCAGCTGAGAGGCCATACCAGGCCAAGTCCTGTTAGCAGGCGTGTCAAAGACCAAGCTCATGAGAATTTCATGAAGAAGACTGTCTTTGTCATCATGGTAATCGAAATACTTGTAGGTGGAGTATATATGTTTTGAGAAGGGGGGAAAGTTTTTTGCCCTGTTTAAGAATTGCCATAAAGGAGAAAAGCTTTTGAGTTTTAGCATAAAACAAAACAACATCTAAATAGAAGAAAATCTGAAATTAAAGTGATGGCTTTCCAGAAGGCCTTGATGGAAACAGTACCTCAGAATTTTTCTGTTTCGTATATTGGGGTGTACTGGTGTAGTTGTCGGTTTGGCTGCTGCATATGGTGACTGTATGTTTGGGACAGGGCAGAGACCCTACTGGGACAAGCCAACGAACTCTACTGTCTATCATGATTATTGTGTTCTCAAAGAAGGATTGAGACTTTCTTAGTTTTTTATCATATGCTATCGATGACCTTGTGGCGAAGTAGTTAAGATCTCGGCTGCTAACCAAAAGGTCAGCAGTTTGAATCCACCAGCCACTCTTTAGAAACCCTATGGGGCAGTTCTACTTTGTCCTATTGGGTCGTTATGAGTTGGAATAGACTCAACAGCAGCCGGTTTGGTTTTTTGGTTTGGTCGATGACCTCAGCCAGTCAAAGTCGAAGGTCCTCCCTTTGGAAGTGATTGGACTCCTGGGTTGGTGTAGGCCTGGTCTCTTTAGGGACTAAATCTAGTTGTCATCATGATTAAAAAGGCAGCCACTAGTATTTAGTGTCTACTATGGGTTAAGGCACTGTGCTAGCACTTTATTATATTCTTTGTCTCAGTAACCCCACAAAGTCACATCCTATGAAGTCATGTGAGGATGTGGGAAAAATGTTAGAGCTTTAACAGCTGGGGCCGAAATTTTCTGAAAGATTGTCTTTACTGGGAAAATACTTCGATAGGTGCCTGGGGTAGAGCTGAGTCTTTACCCCCAGGCTTGGTTGTTGGCCAGTGCTGAGGTGTCAGGAGGAGGGGAGCTACAGGGCATGGTAGAGGTAGATGCTAGTTAGGGAGAGGCGGGGATGAGGAGAAGAGATAGGAGGGAGAAGAAGTGAATGCATTTACATGTGGGCATGATCTTCTACTTTACTTTCCCAACTCATGACCTATAAATATTCAATATTAGTAAAACTCTGGAATTGTCTGATTTGAGTGTTCTATTTGCGGAAACTGGTAAAGAGGCAGAATTTTGAGTTTGGATTGACTTTGGGAAGAACAGAGAGAACATCCATGAACACAAGAGGCCAGAGTCTGAAAAGACCGTGAGAAAATCCTGAGAATTTGCTCATATCTTAGGAAAATATAGTGTTTCTCCCAGGCCATACAACTGGGGATTCCAGGTAGTCTTATAAAAATAGCAAGGGCAAGGAAACCCTAGTTGGCATATAGGTTACAATAGGTATCATTCCCATTTTACAGATGGAAAAACTAAACTGGAAGGAATTATTAGTCCCAAAATAATACAGGGATTCAAACCTAGATCTCTTTCAGATACTGGATTTTTGTCCTTAGCCATACTATTTCTCCTGATTCCTAATGCTCTTCTTTCCTACACTTTTTTTTTAAACATTATAAAGTTAACGTATCTTAAAACCTTGTGCCTATAGATAGGACATTTGATGAATTGACCATACTTTGAATTCAACTTTGAGATATGTCACCAGTGTTGTGACAGTGGTTACAGCTCTGTACCTCCATCTAGGACCTGGTGAGTCATAGCTCTTCGGTGATCTCAACCAAACCTTCCGCAGATCTGTGGGAAAGTGAGACTGCCCACTTGTTAGCAACTAGTTTGTGGCCCTGACTTGGCTTTCTTTATACTCCCTTTTTTCCTTCAAGCTGCAGAAATTTTGTCTCCTCATTGCTTTTCCTACCTTTGCCTGTTCTTTTGGGCATCTCTTTTACCAGGACCCTTTGTGACCTGACGCTCACGTCTTTGCAAACTCAAGGGTTCCTCCTTGAAATTTAAACTGCCTTATACTTCTCCCTCCTAGAGATTTCTGTCTAGTATATTTATTTTGGTTCAGTTGCCAAAAGCATGATCAACAATAGGCGACTGGTAAGATTGTTTTACCCTTAGGTAGAACTTAGTACTTTCAGCCGTTGTTATAAGCTAAAATATGGGCCTAATTACTTTCTGTCTGGCCTATTGGTAGCACAGCCATGCTGAGAGTGTTGTGATCTTGTCCTCTTGACATCAGCAGTGTGTATTAGGTCGCTACAGATTTTCTTATTAACCTGCTTTTCAGTGTGAGGGATGTTTCTTGTTCCAAGCTTATTGTCAGAGAGGAGATAACTGACGCTCGGAATCCCAGCCAGTGATCATGCTCTTTCTGGCTGCTGGTGCTTCTGTAATATGGCTTTTATTCTGTCTCAGATACCCTTGTTTTTCCAGCTCCTTTCCTTCATGCTCCCTACCCACCTATCACTGCAGTTTTACAACAGAAAAATTGTTGGCCCTGGCTGTATATGTAATAATCACTTGTCAGTTGTGAAAGTAGGGTTTTTTGTGAAAGTAGGGTTTTTTCCCTATACACAATATTCATAAGTGCATCATTGCCATTATCCAGGGGCAGATTATCCAATAGGCAAGGTAAGCACAGGCTTACCTTGCTTACCAAATCATCTGTAGTGAACAGTTTCACATTTTTTCACATCAAAGATTCTGCTTCTAGATATGGCTGGCATCTGCCTCTCTCCCAATCTCACGCACCTTCCTACAGAATCAAAGCCTCTTTTCAAATTTACAGTCTCTGACAGGGATGGATGACCCAGTAAGCACAAGTAAGCACAGGCTTACTTGTGCTTGCTTACTAAACTGTAGTGGATTGTTCACTGCAGATGATCTAGTAAGCACATAAGCCCTGTGCTTACCTTTCCTGTTGGAGAATCTGCCCCTATCGTTATGTATGATCTCTTACCTGTAGTTGTGAGCAATTTGAAGATCCTGAGTTCAGAGTCACTTATTTGAATGTCTGCCTCCACCCAGCCATTCATTAGAGCTGCTAAGGAAGAACACCATGGATTTCCAACTCCCTGCCCTTTCCTGGCTTTTACTTAGGAGGAATTCTAAAATGATCAAAAGATAGGCAGCAAAATGGAGGAGAAGGAAAAGCCTTTTTTCTTTAATCCTACGAATAATATCTGCATGATTGAGATATGTCTGAATTTATAGGTTCTCACTGAGTATATGACATTATGTAAAAATAGCTTGAAAGTTACCTCGTATGTCAAAGACAAGTTCTCTGAGGACCTTAAGAGACAGCGAAGATGGATCTATGGAGACAGATAAAGAACAGAACGTAAATTTTCATAACATGAGATGATTCTCTGTTTCATGGGCCCTGTTTTGCCACTTAGATTATAGGTTCTGTATTAGATACCTGAGTAGTGACAGGGTGGCAGTGCTTCAGTCCAAACTGAATTCACGTGAACATGACAAACCTGTCAAGAGAAGACATCCGAAGTAGAAATGGTATGGACCACCAAATAGGTGATATTTAACATTGAATTTATGTATAACTGAGCAGTAATGTGCCAGTGTCCATTTGATTAGGTGATCAGTTCATTCTGTGGCTGCTGAGGCATTTAGTTTCTCTCCTTTTCCTTTATTCTCACTTTTTTTTTTATCACATCCTGTCCTCAAGCCATTGCCTTTGTTCACCAACCTATCTTATTTTCACATCAGACAACATCTTTTCAGTGTTAAAAGGTATTTCTTAAAATTCACTTCTTCTGCAAGACCTCCTAGTACGAGGCAGAATATGGCACAATTAATAATAAAATTATATCGTTCATCAAAGTCAAATAGACCTTTTTTTCCCAATTCTATTTTTGTGAGGTATCACACTATCCTATTTGCACAGTGATTTACTTACATACCAAAAACCACACCAAACCAGTTGCCATTGAGTCGATTCTGACTCATGGCAGCCCCATGTGTGTCAGAGTAGAACTGTGTTATTCCATATGGTTTTCAGTAGCTGATTTTTTTTGGAAGTAGATCACCAAGCCTTTCTTCAGAGATGCCTCTGGGTGAACTCCAACTGCC